GCAAACAGCAACACACATCCCCCCCACCCTTCTTTTCCATTCTCTCCCCCACCTCCTCAAACCTGCCTGTGTCCCCTTATGATGCGCAAATATAGCAGTGTTAATACTCTCTTCCCACGGGAGAGTGTGCCAAGGGTATGAGCCTTCCAGAATGAGAATTCACTGCTTTTCCTTGTACAGCAAAACAATGAGCCAGATTGTTTTCTCTGACTTTAAATTGTACTTTCTCCTAAGGTGATGACACCCACCATCACTAAAGAGTGCCCACTTGGAAATCTCCTGTGTACTGTGCAAAACAATGTAAATGGAAGAGAGATTTGCTACATAAGAGCATGGTTAACTCCGAGAAACAGACCTGTTAAAATCATCCAGGATAAGTCTTTGCCTTCTTTCTATCAGACTGAGGATATATTATATATTATATATTATATATTATATATTACATATTACATATTAGATTGAAATATAATTACTTTAAAAAAAGCAAGTTCACAGACCCACAGGTTAAGAACCCCTGATTTCTAGCCCAATCTCCTCATTTTATAGATGGGGAAACTGAGGCCCAGAGAAGGTGGGTGACTTGTCCAATGTCATAAACATGGTAAGCTGCAGAAATCAGGATTTGAACACAGGTGGTAATACAAAACAACTCACTGCCTCTTAAGCCTTCACCAGAGCAGAGGTTTCCAAGGGATCACGCAAACCCACATTCTCTTATACCAAAGTATATGGCAGAGAGGGGAGAGAGACAGAGACAGATACACAGAATCATCAAAGATGATTCTGGTTGTTGTATTTGCAAAGATTTAATAGTGGTTCATCACAGTGTTTTCTAAGTTCACACAACCTCCCCTTCAGTTTGCAGCAATTATCTGCTAAGCTTGGTGTTTGTGACTGGCCAGGCTTCACTGTTCTCAGATGAGAAAGCACGTGGTGTGCAGTAATGAAGCCGGACTGGCATACAGATGTGCCACATCCCATATCCCTAAATCGCTGTCTTTAAAAAGCATGGATTAAGGAAGGAAGGTCATTCCTTCCAAAGTCATAGAAGAAAGCATCACAGAATCAGAGCTGGAAGAGATTCCTGAGGCTGTCTGACCAACCCCCTCCGCAGTGCACCTGGGTCCTCAACGAGACTTTGCTTGAAGGGGGGGGGGGGGGGGGGGACGGGACAAAAAGTTTTCCCTTACATCAAGCCTAATTTGCCTCTTCAATTCAACCTAAGACTCACAGAACAGACGTTCAAATACTTGAATATTCCCAGCCTTTCGAGTCTTATTGTTGTCCAGTCATGTGATCCCATTTGGGGTTTTCTTGGCAAAGATGCTGGAGTGGTTTGCCATATTTTTCTCCAGCTCATTTTGCAGATGAGGAAACTGAGGCAAACGGGGTTAAGTGACTTGCCCAGGGTCACACAGCTAGTAACTGTCTGAAGCCAGATTTGAACTCAGGAATTTGTCTTCCTGACCTCAGGCCAGGAACTCTTTCCACTGTACCACCTAACTGCCCTTTTCAGGCCTATAAATCCCTATTTCACACCGCCATCAGCCTAATCTTCCTTATGTACGGGTCTAAAGGGAATATTCTGTGCGTGGTCTAAATAGTCACATGCCCTTCTTCCCTAAGCCCTGGCCACAATACCCCCAAATAGATAATGTGGGAAGAGTCTTAAGATACAGAGATCTTCAATAATATGGTTATATAAACTTTAATAGTAAAACTGACATATTCCATAGGAGAATTTGTACCAAAAAATAGTGAAATTTCATATTACAAGAACCATTCATTATGCTTGCTGTCTATGGACCTGCAAGCTTAGTTAAGCACAGAGATTATCACCAGTGCAAACAGGCAATGAGTTCTTCAGCCATTACAGAAAGAAAAATAGAGGATTTGGCTCTTAGTTCTGTGTGCAGTCTTTCTGCAGCTGGAGTGATTGTGGCAAAGTGTCAGAAAATGGTGCAAAGATGCGAAGAACCGCAGAGTTTTGAGAATTTAATTGAACTGTTAGTGTTTTAAATGCGACATCCCTGTCCATTGATCATCAACTTGATATATCCATTACGAGAGGAATTAAACCATATTTATATGGACATTCTATCTATGAAGCTGGAAAATGTATGAGAGGAAGTTTATGTTGTTCAAAGATATGATGGTTTATAGGTTCTACTGGAGAGAGACACGCAAAGGCAAACATTTTTAAGTTTATTGTTTATTTTTAACATTCTTTTTTTAAAATTTTGCATTTCAAATACTCTCTCTCCCTCCCACCCCTCTACCACCCACTGAGAAGGCAAATAATATGATATCAATTATACATGTGAAATCATGCAAAACATATTTCCATATTAGCCATGTTGCAAAAAAAAAAAAAAGCAAGAAAAACGAAGTGAAAAAATTATACTTCCATTTGCACTCAGAATTTATAAATTCTCTGTCTGGAAGTGGATAGCATTTTTCAGCATGAGTCCTTTGGAATTACCGTGGGTCATCGTATTGATCAGAGGAACCAAGTCTTTCATATTTGATTATTTGCTGTTACTGTGCACAAAGATCTCCTGGTTCTGCTCACTTCACTTTGCATCAGTTCATAGAAGTTTCCCCGGGTTTTTCTGAAACCATTCTGCTTATCATTTCTTATAGCACAGTAGTATTCCAACATCAGACAGCTAGGTGGTGCAGTGGATAGAGCTCTGGGTCTGGAATCAGGAAGACTATCTCTGAGTTCAAATCCAGCCTCAGACACTGACTATAGCTGTATGACCCTGAACAAGTCACTTAACCCGTTTGCCTCAGTTCCTCATCTATAAAACGAGTTGGAGAAAGAAATGGCAAACCACTCCAGTATCTTTGCCAAGAAAACTTCAAATGGGGTCACGAAGAGTTGGACATGACTGGAATGACTGAATAACATTCCGTCACAATCATAACTTTTCCAGCCATTTCCCAACTGATGGGCATCCTCTCAATTTCCAATTCTTTGCCACCACAAAAAGAGCTGCTATAAATATTTTTGTACATGTAGGTCCTTTTCCTTTTTCTTTGTTCTCTTTGGGATATAGACCCAGTAGTGGTATTGCTGGATCAAAGGGTGTGCACAATGTTATATCCCTTTGGGCATAGAGGAAACATTATTCCTTACTCTCTTCTTTATCCTCTACAGCTTTACTTCTGTCCTCTTTCTACTAAAGTCGCTCTCTCCAAAGTTACCAAAGATCTTTCAATTACCAAATCTAATGGCCCTTCCACAATCCTCACCCTTCTTTACCTCTCTGTACCCTTTCACACTGTCAATCATTCTCTTCTCCTGGATTGTCTCTCTAGATTTTTCATGACACCACTCTCTCCCTCTTCTCCTCCTACTTGTCTTATTGAACTTTCTCCATGTCCTTTGCTAGTTTTTCTTCCAGGTCATACCCACTAATGGTGGGTGCCCCACAAAAGGTCTGTCATTGGTCCTCTTCTCCTTCTATACTATCTTGTTTGGGTGACCTCATTGTACCCATACATAGTTTGAATGATCATCCCTATGCTGATAATTCTCAGATCTACTTATCCAGGCCTAATCTTTCTCCCTACTTCCAATCTCACATCACCATCTGCCTACTGGACATCTCAAACTGAAATGTCCTATAGACATCTCACATTCCGCATGTCTGAAATAGAACATTATCCCAAACCCAAATTATCTCACTTTCTAAACTTTCCTATTATTGTCAAGAATGTCATTACCCCACACAGTTACTCAGGCTCATAACCCGTGTCTCCTTCAGTTCCTTACTCTTACCCACCCCCTATATCCAATCTGCTGCCACATTTTGTTTCTACCTTCACATCTTTTCTATACACTCCCTTCTTCCTATTCGCATAGATGTCACCCTTTTGCAGGTCCTTATGACTTCATGCCTAGACTATGGCAACCAGCCGTCTGGTTGGTTTTTGTTGTTGCTCAGTGTGGATGGGCTGTAGTACCTAGAACTGTTGCTGAAAGGAGTACCAGCATCAATGGAATCATGGACCTACTGAAATTATATATAACCTACAAAAACTTGTGTTGTGTGGATCTCTGGCATTTCATGAAATGTAAATATAGGTGGTTGTGAGGCAATTTTAGTGCCACCAGGACCAGAAAAACCATGACCTGATGACTTAACCCTTTCATCTCCATAACTCCCAACTGTTCTGCTAAATGCCTGCCCAGGGCTCATTATTTCAGGTAGGCAGCTGTCTTGCCTTGGCATTCCAACACCCCCCACCCGACTCCTTCCACATTCCAGTTCTGGAATCACATCAAATCTATACTGTCATTTCTCCTGAAAGGAGGATATCAATCCACCCCCCCATGACTCCACTCAGAAACCCAGTGAATTTTCCAAACTCATTTCCCCTTGCTAGAATGGAAGCTTCTTGAGGGCAGGTTTCATTGATTCATCTTGTCTCTAGATGCCTACTGTTACTGTTACAGGTAAAAAATGGTGTTAAGTACAATGACCAACTTTGATAGACTTAGCTCTTCTCAGCAATGCAATGATCTAAGACAATTCCAAAAGATTCATGATGGAAAATGCTACCCACATCCAAAGAAAGAACTATGGAGTCTGAGGGCAGATCAAAGCATACTATTCTTTTTTCTTTCTCGTGGTTTTTCCCTTTGGGTCTGATTCTTTTTTACAACATGACTAATGTGGAAATATGTTTAATATGATTGTACATGTATAGCCTATATCAGATTGCATGCCGTCTTGGGGAGGGTGATGGGGAAAAATTTAGAACTCAAAATCTTATAAAAGTGAATGTTGAAAACTAAAAATAAATCTAAAGGGAAAAAACGGGGTTAAAAGAGAAATCGGCTGTCTCATTGCTCAAACGGAGGCTCACTGAGGTCTTCCACCTTAGCGAGGTCACCATGGATCTAAAGTCAGGTCCTCCATTTGCAGGTTTAGAGATTCAACTAAGTTTTAACTATTTAACCAGGAGTGATCAAGACAAGGGTGAAACTATTTGCATTAATAACCAAACTCAAGAGTGGCAATTTATTCATTTATGAGACATTGAGCAAGATAACTGATACTGATCATTTGCACAGAACAGGCATGCCCTTCCTCAGAATACCTTTATTCAGACCAAATGACACATCAGAAGGTGATCTAGGGCTACATCCATCAAGCTGTGGTAGCCTGATGAATTCTCCCCCACTTCACAGATATTTTTAAAGAACCAATACCGATTGCTGAGAATCAGAACATTCCCCCTCCCAGGAAGCATTGGAGACACACTGAACCAAAGATTTACTCTCTGGTTCTCCTTTTTTCTAAACCCCACACAAACCACACATACATCTACCATTCACATTTCACAATTTTCAAGATTACAGTTTATCTCTGGTTAATTACAATTTGGCAGGGCAAAATGTTGCCCTAAAGGTCATCCTCCAACAAGACATCTCCCACACCTGTCAAAAATCACACAAGATTCCTTGAAAGATATAACAAGAGATAAATTTGTCTATTACAGAAATGCACAAGGCCATGTAATGAAAGCCAGAAGTAACTAACAGACAGTTTGCATGATCCACTGGTATTAATGCAATACCAAAGAAATCGAGAGGAAGCCCCTAGCACAAGAGTAGAACCCTTAGGGAGGACTTATAGGAGGACATAGACAAAGGGTCACTCAGGAGAAGCCATAGATGGACTAGAACCTCTACCACAGACTACCCATGTGCCAATGAGATCACAGACCCATCAAAGTATAAGTGACATTTATCTTTCAATGAATTTAACTCTAACACTTCACTGAGGCCTGAAGTGACCTCTTCCGCTTCAAGTTCCTAAAAGCTATGCCAGTGAAGTCCCACACCAAAACTTTGAAGACAAAGCTAGGAATGGATTGAACATCTATCTTTTGAGGACCAGCAAATTTAAGTTGGTCATCATCAAACTGACCACAGGGAATGAAATTTTGGGGCACAGCAACTCAAAATCTAACTACTTTATGATCTAGAAATACAATTTGAAATCCGGCCTCAGACCCGTAACACTTACTAGCTGTGTGACCCTGAGCAAGTCACTTAACCCAGATTGCCTCACAAAAAAAAAAATTAAGAAGTGAAGGGCTATACCAACAGAATTCAAATCACCAACTCTTGTTAAGAACTTACATTTATAACTGCTTAGAAGATCATCTGAGCTTATCACCATCCCACTTACATGTACAGCTACTACATGCACAGCTACTTCTGCAGCAGGATAAGTGAATCCACTTTTACTTAGTATGTTTAGTACAAAGCACAGTGTACTAGGAACTGGAAGACCTGGATTCTGGTCCTCTTTCTTTCCATTACTGGCTGTGACAAGCCACATGATCTCTTAGCTTTATGTAGAAGAAACCCATTTTGTCTCTCAAATAGGACTTGTGAGGATTAAATGAGATCATGTACATGGAGGTGCTTTGTAGGCCAAAAGGTCTTAACACAGAAAGGCTATCATCGTGCTGGGTCTTGCTGGTGTTTCTATTTCAGGGGATCACCCTTTCTGACCTGGTTCCTAAATTCTAAGGTTGTATCCAATTTGGAGCCTTTGGCCTCCGTATGCTGTATGCTATTACACTTGTTTGCACCACATAATTTGTTGCTTAACATATCTAAGTCATTTGTCCAACAAGATAAGCATTTGTCTTATACCTCCATTTTCTAGTATGGTGCTAAACAAATAGGCACATAGGTAGGGCTTATTATTGATTCCAATAATAAATAGAATGAAGGAAAACAGGTCCTTTCATCTGTCTATCCTTTCTTTTTAACAGGAGGAAAGTATTTAATGACCATCTATTGTCCTTTTAGAGTTCCTTAATGACAAGAACCAGTCCTTTTTCCATAACAATGGTGCTACTGACCAACAGAGCAGATGCTTTTAAGTTATTTTCCTAGAGTGGTCACGCTTTGTGCCTTGATGCATCTAGTCTCTAGTATCCACAACACTCCCTTCTCCTCTCCCCCTCTCACTCATGACCAATTATGGCAGATGGTTGTCTGGAGATGAAGATAAGGGAACTAATCCTGGGAATGAACTTTCAATGTGATCTCATTAGCTCTAATCACTTAGTAACTGAGGCAATAGGCAAAGTGTCTTTAATAATTTGTACATTAGCATATAACACATATAACATCATAGGATGATGTGGCTTTTAATTTACCGTGACAGACACTATTTAGTTACAAATCTTTTTCTTGTAAGGGTCAAAATATTACTTTGGTTGGATACAAATTTATTCAGGGAATTGTTTAGGGCATTCGGAGATGGAAATTAGAGTGTTGGTTCAAGATTGGTATGCCTTTTCCTTATTACTTGCCCCTCCCTCCCATCACCCAACAGGTATTTATTACCAACTTCTATTGCAGAAATTAAATCTGCATAAACATGCACTAACATTCAATTTAGACATGCAAGATAAAAACAAATTTCAAACTGGTCCCAAGCCTGATCTTGCTCTAAGCCCCTGAACCAACAGCAGAGGACAGCCCAGAGCATACAGTCTGAGGGAAAGGAAGATGGGGGCAGGTTGGTACTGGAAGCAGAGGGAAAGTTAGTTTGTGACCCATCTGTTTTTCCCCAAATGGAAAGTGCCAGATGTTTTTCCTAAGCATCATTAGTATACAGATGCTGGAGTTCCGAGTAAATTCACCCCTTCTTATCTGCTGCCTAACACTTCCTGGGCATCATGAGATTGCAGTAAAGCGTATAACAACATGGCTTATAGAATATCTTTATAATTTCAGAGTATCTTACAATTTGGCCATCACCCTGCTAAGGTAGGTAACTCTAATACATCTATGGCTTTGAGAAAAATTTGAAGCTGCACAAGGCACAGGAAGATTGAGTGACTCCCAAGGACACATGCTGGTCAGTCAGGCCTGGGAAAAGGCCATACAAACTCTGATTTGAGCTCCTGCTCCAGCTCTAATCCAACTCATTTTTCCATAAGCAGGCTGAGCCTTGAAACAAGACAGCAGCCATAAATTTGTCATAGTTTTCTTCTCCATGGCTAAGGTAGTTACAGGTTCTCGCTCCAAGTCAGCAGTTAAATTACACAGAGGGACACCTTTGTGTCCCACAAAGGTACATTATGTACAAAGACTCAAACTGAGAAGTCTCTTTTTTACAGTAATTAAATGCACATTAGACTAGTTATATGAACTAAGAAGCTTTTCAAACAGAACATCCTGCTCCTTTGTCAGAAAACTATAGCTTTCAATAATTTCTAAGCAAAAAATATACAGAACAAGAAATCACAATACTAATAATAACTCTAGTTACACAGGCCAGAATTTAAATATTCTGAAGGAAAAGGCAAGGGATGGAAGTCAATACCACCAAGTAATGTAAACATATGACATGATGAGTTAGCATTTCATTCATTTACGTAACACACTACAATAGATTTTTAGCTTGTTTTTTCAAGCAATTTCACATGACATATATAGTGGAAGGCAAAAAGCAAAAACTTAAATTGTGTGGCTTTGTTTGCTATGTTCTCTTTGGCACCATTTGTACCTTGCTGTCATATGAAACGGCATTTATATATCAATAATTATTCTAGCAAATCGATACTGCAGAGATGCCGGTGTTCTTAATAAAACCAGCCCCCTCTTGTCTGCCGGTTGACTTAGAAGCATCTCCAGCAGGCCGGTCAAACTAACAAACCCCAATGCTTCTCCACAGCCAGCAGCCAGTGAGAAATCTCCTTGTGTCACAAATCCAAGGAGGGTCCGAGAGCAATGGCCAGTGATGTCAGGGAGAGAACCTGGCCACAAACCAGGAGTTCCCTCTGCACACACTATGGCACAGTGCTGCCCTCCTTGTTTCTGCTCCTTCTCTGTTTTCTTTTCTTTCTGTTTCCGTGCCTTGGCCTTGAATGGGTCACTGTGTCTGGACTCCTGCGGGCCACCATAAAGCCGATCTTCATTCAGAAGCAGGATATCATCTTTTGATGGGATGCAGATCATGGTGTGTAATTCTGGGTTTCCCTTTTTGAGCAAAGATAGGCTGACCCACACCAGGGACCTTGGATAGTCACGTAAGATTGGCAGGCAGGTAGCCCTCGTCAGCTCCTGCTGCTGATACATCCTGGAAGCTTGGATGGCTACTCGATTTCTTCTAGCAACAGGATGACACCAGGCTGCTAACAACTTCAACAATTTTCTACTCCTAAATGAAGTCAAAAACATCTGTTTCAGACTATTTTATTCAAAGAAAAAAATATAAACAAAAAATTCAAGTGCTGATGTAGGTTGCTAAACTTTAAAAATTATATCTATGGGAAAATATCAGTAACTCTAAGCTGGGAAATAGTTTACATGTATTATCTTATTAATTATTGGATTACTACAGTTAAATATGTGGAATGGGACACCAACCACTTTGAGAAAGAAAAGTTGGTCAGAAAAACCTGTAAAGACTTATATGAACTGATGCTGAGTGAAATGAGCAGAACCAGGAGAACACTGTACACAGTTAACAGCCACACTGTGCGATGACTGACTTTGATAGACTTAGCTCTTCTTACCAATACAAGGATCTAACACAACTCCAAAAGACTCACAATGGAAAATGCTATCCACATCCAAAGAAAGAACTCTGCAGTCTGAATGCAGATTGAAGCATACTATTTGATCTCCTTTGCTTTCGTTGTTTTGTTTCTTCTTTCTCATGGTCCCTTCCATTAGTTCTAATTCTTCTTTACATCATGACTAATGTGAAAACGTTTAATATGAATGTATATGTAGAGCCTATATCAGACTACACGCCATCTCGAGGAGGGGGAAGAAGAGAAAGGGGAAGAAAATTTAAAACTCAAAATCTTATGGAAGTGAATGCTGAAAATAAATAAATTAATTATTTAAAAAAACTAAAGCAGGCTCAGCTAGGTGGTGCAGTAGATAGAGCACTGGCCCTGGCATCAGGAGGACCCGAGTTCAAATCCAGTCTCAGACCAGACACTTGACACTTACTAGCTGTGCGACCCTAGGCAAGTCACCTAACCCCAAATGCCTCACCAAAAAAAAAAAAAAAAAAAAAAAAAAGTGGATATGGAACTTGTCAAAGAGGTATGGCAATGTTCTGGGGCTTCATGTAACCAGCACAGTATCATACAAAAACATATACCATCTATATACAAAGACTTAACTGTTTTACTTGGATGCTGAGCTTGATCTCTTTCAAAACAGTAATAAATACTTTTGGAAAGAAAAGAAAAGAAGCTGGAGGGAAGGAGGGATTTAGGATGCGGGGCAGGGGTTTTTAATCTTGGGTTCATAAACTTTTTAAAAAAATATCATGAGAGCTGTTTTCCTCTGCAATCTCATATTTTTTATTTTATGCATTTAAAACCTTCATTGATAGAAGGGGTCCAAAGGCCTCACCAGATTGCCAAAGGAGCCCACAACACAGAAAAGTTTAAGATCCAGGAGGTGGTGAGTAGGCATAGTAGTAATCAGAGAGCAATAAGGATTAGAGGAAGGATATTCTAAGGAGAAAGGAACTTGGGAACTGTGGAATGCCTGCAAGAGGAAAGGAGTGACTGTGGTGGAAAAAAAAAAGGGAGTTACTAATGGAAAACTGTCCTCCATAGAAACATTTAACATTTTTGCCTACTGAGTACAGAACAGGCAAAAAGAGCCTTTAGGAGAAAGCTTAGAAATGCTGTTTTAAGACAGGTCATTTCATAAGTAACAAACACCTACACTGAAACTAGAAGGCTAAGGAAAGGTCATGGTTTTATAAGACACCCTCCATAATGTGGTGACAATGTGGAATCAAACGGACGCTACCTTAAACCCAGAGGAATTGGAGGATTTGCTTAATCTAATGATCGAGAGTAAAGTATGGATGAGTCACACACCTCTTCTTCCCTGACTAGGTGCTGCTCTGTGTAAAAACAGCTACGACGTGTTCCCCAACCCTGATCGTACCTATTACTTGGCAGAAATTATCTTTGTTAATGTTTATTTACATCAACATCTTCATTACTAAAGTGCTATCAAACAAAAAACTAGGATTGGCTAAATGATTTCACCTTGCCCTCGAGCTCTAGACAAAAGCACAGCTTATAAAATGAATTAAGACGATTAAAATTGATTTGTGTGTATGCTCAATTCGTAGTCTACATAAGTTTTTAAATCTGGAAAGATAATCAAAATCCCATCTGCAAATAAAACATTATAGAACGATTATGAGTCGCTTACCTGAGAACACAGAAGGTGCCCTTTGTCCCACCACTGTCATTTCCACATACGCCTTCTCCTGTTGTGTCTCCTGCCACTGCAGCACCTGGAGAATCGGTGTCCATCATCTCTTCTGGCTCTCCTGGCTTGTCTTTCAAAGTCTCAGCTTCACAAGACAGCTTTGACTCCTGCTCATCCTCCACAACACAAAGGTCTTCTCTCCCAGGATCACTCTTGACATTTGCCCACGAACAAGAAGGAGATACCAGAGACTCTGCCCGAGTTGTAATTCTTGATTCCCAGTCTCGAGTTAATTGTCCCCAAGGACATCGGAAAGGTGACAAAGTACCATGTTTGACATAGTTGGGCCTCTTTGCTGGCGGGTGTCTAATTAAAAATAAAGAGAAACCAATTTGCACAAGGTGGGATTGTCCCTATGTCACAGGAATCACTCAAATAAATATCAATCTTCGTAATAACAATCAATTCCTAATCTGTGTGCCAAACACTGTACCAGGAAATTAAATAACCCCTTTCCTATAAGGAGCATCTATTCTATTGGGGCAACCAACATTTACAAAGTCAATATGAAATAATGGGTGGGAGTGGAGCAGAAAGGGAGCTCTCATCTGAACTGATGCTTGAGCTGAGCTTTGAAGGAAGCTAGAAATTTTAAGAGGTAGAGGTGAAGTGGGAATGCAGTCCAGGTACAGAGCACAGCCTGTGCAAAGGCAGGGGTGGGAAATGGAATGCCAGGAACAAGGAGCAACAAAGCAGGCCAGGTTGGCTGGAAGACAGATGTGAGAGAAAGCAATGGGTATGAAATAAGCCTGGAAGGGTAAGCTGGGAATAGACAGTGAATGACATACTAAGCAAGGGAGTTTATAGTTTATACTAAAGGCAATAGGAAGCCACTGGGGTTTAGTAAGCAGGGCTAAACAAGATCAGACCTACGCTTCAGGAAGATGGATTTGAGGGGGGTGGGGGACGAGGCAGGGAGATCCAACTGGAATTGGCCAATGCCCAATTGCAACTGGCAAGCATTTGTTGAAAAATAAAAGGTGATAGAGGCTTGGATTTAGGCACTCTCTCTGGGGAGATGGGGATGAAGGAAAGCTACAGCCATGGTTTAAAATGAGAACTACATCCATGAATTTACATGCTAAAGACTGATTAAGGGCAGCTAAGTGGCACAGTGGATAGAGCACTGGCCCTGAGTTCAAATCTGGCTTCAGACACTTGACACCAGCTGTGTGACCCTAGGCAAGTCACTTAACCCCAATTGCCTCACCCCAAAAAAAAAAAAAAAAGGAGGGAGAGAGAGAGAGAGAGAGAGAGGGAGGGAGGGAGAGAGATAAAGACTGATTAAAACTGTTAGAATCTTTGAACCATGAAAATCCAGCCTAATTGTTGGTTACCATAGCTTAAAGGGCCTTCTGGGAAATATGACTGGCTCCTGGCCTAAGGAATGAGTTCTGAAACCAGATTTACAACCCCTAGATGCATCGTAGAGATTAAACTGGTCTTGGAACTAGATGGACCTCCCCTAGGCTAAAGCAAAACTAGCCTAATCTTCAGCTTTTCCAAATCTGAACAGATTAAAAGCAACAAACAGTACGTACTAACAAACACACTTCTGTTTGGACCTACAACGGACTAAAACCATAATGACCTTCAAAAGCAGCCAAATAATGAAACACCTTTTATTATGGGGCACATGTGCCTGCTAGGGTAGGGATTATTATTAGGCTACAGATACTATTTATGTCTATTTCTATCCTCAAATACAATTTTAACTTTTCGCTAACCTCTCAAAGAAATAAAAAACCTTTCCCCTCAGCCCAGAACAAACAGATCTAGTGGAAATATCCCAAAGTTCATTTCATATCATTACTAGGGAAGAAAAAGCTGAGGGGCAGCTAGGTGGCACAGGGGATAGAGTACCGGCCCTGGAGTCAGGAGGACCCAAGTTCAAATCCCAGTCTCAGATACTTGACACTTAACTTGCTGTGCGACCCTGGGCAAATCACTTAACCCCAACTGCCCCCCCCCCACACACAAAGGTGAGATGTCTGAATACACACATCCTTTATAGTCAAGTGATTTTAAAATTCTCCATTTGAGTTTACAATTATTCATCTGAAAGTTGAATTTCTTCTTTTATCAGTGTTGGTCTTTTTTCCATGTTGCAAGTTGACTTTTAAAATGTCTCTGCTTAATACAATGGAAAATGCATACTTGACTATGAGAGGCATGCAACATCATCAGCATAATCAAGGAACCCAGGGAAAGGGCTCCTAACTACTCATGTACACAGAGAAAAGTAGATGAGAAATTTATTGCACTCAATTACATATTTAAAAATTTACTTTTTAGGGGCAGCTAGGTGGTGCTGTGGATAGAACACCAGCCGTAGAATCAGGAGGACCTGAGTTCAAATCCGGCCTCAGACACTTGACACTCACTAGCTGTGTGACCTTGGGCAAGCCACTTAACCCCACTGCCCAGTCCAAAAAAAAAAATTTACTTTTGAGTAACACTTATCTCAAAACAAAACACACAGACCAGTGAACAACTAACTGCTTCAGTGTTGAGTAAATCACTGCTTTATTAAATGTGAACTACTATTAAAGCTAAGAAATTTTCTACCTTTTGTATTTTTCCAGAAGATTATTTTCTTGTTCTCTGGCAAACAAAATTCCAGCAGGGCAGTCTGGGAAATCATCAGGGATGCTGGGTGCTCCCTTATACCGAGAATGTATGAGAGCCTCTTTTAATCCTCCAACTCGTGCACCACGATAGATCTAAAAAGAATATCCAGAAAAAAACTGTGACCTGACCCATCTAAAACTCAAACACCATGCTACATAGAATTGCTTCACAAATGTTCCTACTCTTACATGATCAGGTGAATATCTCTTGCTCTAAAGCTTAAACATTTTGAAAATTACTGATCAATCTAAAGGTACAAATTTCAAAATGACTTTCATTTCCTCCAAGCACGATTAGAATGATACTTAAAGCCACCTCTGATAAAAAGATAGTTATAGTTTTAGCACACACTTTAGCTATGGATACATGTGAGGAAGATACAGTCAGTATTTTTTTTTAAAAAATAGCTTTTAAGCAAAGGTTTTTGAGGCTGTATTGTCAGAAGTTTCAAAAGTATGACAATGCCACCATTTTTTATCATCTCTAATTTATAAAAGGCCAATTTTGAAAATTTCCCAAATTCATAGAGAAGAGGGCCCTGGTCATCTCAACTTATGAAAGAAAGACTAGTTCCATGAAATAAGTAAACAGTGTCGTTACCACAAAATACTTAGAGCCAAGGGCAGAAATACTGCATAAAATGCCCACCACATTTTCAGCATTTGATTTTTACTACAAAGATGTCTTCAAATATTTTCAAATATATCTAAAATTCAGATTCAGAAAATAACTTACGAAGGGAATCCAGAAAGCCATTCCCCAACCTTTGGGAAGTAAGACATCCCAGCCACTTCCCCATCCTAATCGATCTTCACCAGTTACTTTCCCTGGTTGTTGGATCAACAGTATGGGTATCTTGGATTCACGGTGGCCTAAATTAAGTTGTGACCCAGGCACCATCAATTCACTTCTCATCTGGTTTAACTCCTGAGATGAAAGAAAAGAATTGAAGGCAAGGACTCTTACTCCTTTAAAGAATCAACAGGATAGCCCGATGGACAGTCAAACATCAAATATTTATGAAGTATCTACCATGCGCTAGGCACTGGAGATGTAAGTACAAAGAACTAAAGATTCCCTACTTACTAGAAGCTTGCATTTACTCTAAGGAGACACAATACATATGCAAATAGATAAAACACAAAATTAATAAATAAAAATATATATAAAGTAAAATATAAATACAAAGTAGTTTGGGAGGGATGGCACTAACAGTTGGAGATATGGGGGAAAAGGAAAAGCTTCATGCAAAAGATGGCATTTGAGCCAGGTTTTAAGAGAGATTCTTCAAGGTGGAGGCAAAGAGAAGTCATTCCAGGCACAGGGACAGACAGGGCAAAGGCAAGGAGTCGTGAGAGACAGCATCACTCGAGACGAACAAAGAAGGCCAATCTGGTTGGAAAAGGTTAAGAGGGGGAGGAATCACCAATGGAGATGGAAACATAGGTTAGGGCCAGATTGTGTAGGATTTTAAAATTTAAACAGGAGAGTTTCTATTTGATCCTAGAAGTAATAGGAAGCTACTAGAATTTGTTGAGTAGAGAAGTCATATAATCAGATCTATCTACACTTGAGAAAAATTACTTTGGCAGCAGAGCGTAGATAGACTGGAGTAGAGACAGATCTGAAGCAGGGAAACAAATTAAGAGGCTGCTTGAATAATCTAGGTGAGAGGTAATGAGGTTCCCCATTCCTGGTCTAAAGGTGATAGTTGTGTGAGTAAAGAAAAGTTATCAAATCAAGAGATGTTGTGAAGACAGAAATGGCAATTTTTGGTAACTGACTTAATATTGTAGGGACAAGGAAAGTAAGGAGTCTAGGATAATGGTGAGGTTACAAACCTGGGAAAATGGAAGGGTTTCATTCCATTTCTGCTTCTGACAATAATGAGAGAAGCCTGGAAGATGGAATGGTTATGAGAAAAAGAGTTCAGTTTTGGTCATTTTGAGTTTAAGATGTCTCTGGAACATCCTGCCTGAAATGTTTAATAGGCAACGGGTGATGCAGGACTGGTGCCAGATACATGTGTCTGTGAGTCATCTGCAAAGAAATAAGAGTTGAACCCAGGGGAGCTGATAAAGTTGCCAAGAAAAAATGTAAAGGGAGTAGAGAACCTGTGACAAAACCTTGGGGTTAGCCATGAAAAGAGACTGAGACAGGGTGGACAACAGAAAGAGAGGAAAGACTATCCAGGAGGAAAAAGGTGCAGACACATTAAGAAGCCTGAAGCTGAGAAAGGACCAACATGGTTGACGATTAAGAATCGCTACTCACTTCAGAGAGAGCAATTTCCGCAAGTTGTAGAGGAGTAAGAGGAGAGAAGGTGGAGGAAATGGGTGCAAACAGCATTTTCAGGGAATTTGACTAAGGGAGAAGAAATATTAGAGTAGAGGGTATGGCAGAGTCCAGGGAAAGTTCAAGTTGCTTCTTCCGGAATGAGAATTTGTCTATTTCACAATATCACCTAACTGCTGAACAAGAGTGATAGCAGAAAGTTACCTAGGTGAATTAGGTAGAAAACTCCTCAGATAATTAAGGGGTAGAGGGAAAAGAAAACTAATCATCTTAGTAATCTTTGGAAACCCTGTTACTTCACTTGATATAGCTAAAGTAACTACTTCTGTAAAACTACATGAAAGGCCAAAAAAGTGAGAGGCCCAAATTACTGAGGATCTTTCTAGATTCAAAATATCATAGCCAAGATAAAACATACTGTAAACTATATAAATAATATTATCCAAACAGCAACCACCACATTTTTGTTCTACACTGAAATTCTATTTTTTTTTTTTTGGTAGAGGTCGAGGTATGGACAAGACTGCTTTCCAATCTACCACTTCATAGGTTTTAGGAACTTCTTGTTCAGTCATTTCAGTCGTGCCTGACTCTTCATGACCCCATTTAGGGTTTTCTTGGCAAAGATGCTTACGTGGTTTGCTATTTCCTTCTCCACATCATTTACAGATGACGAAAATGAAGCAAACAGGGTTAAGTGACTTGCCCAGGGTCACACAACTAGTGTCTGAGGCCAGAGATGAACTTAGGTCTTCCTGACTCCAGAAGCAGCACTCTATCCACAGTGCCACCTAACGGCCCTTTAAGGAACTACCAGTGAAGAAACTCTCACCAAGCAAAACTGGCAACTTTTTGCAATTCATAGTCAGAAGAGGTGAGAGGCACTGAGAGGTTTAAGCCATCAGCCTAGGAGGTCACAAAGCCAACACCTGTCAGAAGTAGGTAGAAGAAGAAGTAGGCTATCTACTATGTCATGCTATTTCTACTGCTGTTTAATGAATGCTATTTCAAGATGATAATTAGAGCTAATGAAAAGCAGCAGGATGGGCTGTCTCGGGAGAAGGCAGGTTCTCCCTCAAAGGAGATCTTCAAGCAGAAGTTGTATGATCATAGGTTGAGTGTGTTACAGTAAGGACTCTTTTCTAGGGAATGGATCACACTTGATAGTGGCTAGGGTCAAAATTACCTTACAGTTTTTAAGCCTAAGTAGTTATTACTCCAGAAAATTAACAATTTATAACCCCCAAAAATAAGTAAATAATCTCTAAGTAAACTAGAATTTAAATCTTTTGAGAAATGCTTTAGTTTCTAAAACAAAAAAATTAGACAATCTATTACTTTAAAATAAGGTCATTTATAGAGCAAATTTAAAATTTACAAACCACTGCCTTTACAACAAACCCATGAGGTAGATAATAAAAATAAATTACACGTTAAATATAAATTACACTTGTAAATTACAAAAAATGAATTACACTTACAGAAAACTATACAACGTTTGCAAAGAACTTTACATACACTTTGTATGTGCTCCCCTGTATTTCCCTAAGTGAAAACAAGGAAGAGCCAGACACATACATACAGTAATGGGAGTCTCCTATTACCATGGCAAGACATTCCAACCTGTTAATTTGCTAAAAGCCTCTGAGCACATTCCTTACCTTCTCTGAGATTTTATTCTCTGTGACACTCTTACATATATCCTGGTTCCAGATAAAACTATGCGCACACTCCACAGGCACGCCCTCTAGGCGCAGTTGTCTAACTTTTTCATTATCTACAAAGAAAAAAAAAATCTTTCAAACCACACATTTTCGATAAATGTTAACAAAGTCAAACAAATGCTCATATCCTGAAAGTTGCTTATAGATTACAAAATATTTAAGTGCTGTGTTCCTGAAAATGTCTTCATTTTAGAAAATATCTTGTCAACAAGAGCAGCTAGCTAATGCTAGGGTCGTTCATTTATTATCATGCTTGCCTATCTGTGAAATGGCAAATGACTGAATTTTCTACCACATTATAAAATGAGGAGGTCAAATAATACAATATCTCAACACTAAATTACTTCTAGGTAGTTATTTGGTTCTGTATTTACAAAGACCAAATGCTATGTCAATCTATTTTTCTAGAGTAGTTCCTATTTTGCTAAGGTGGCATGATCCAAAAACTAGTATTCTATGCTTTTTAAATCTTTCCTAGGAAAAGTACAGTAAGCCAACAGAACTGGGGGGAAGAAAAGGCATGACCAATTTCAAGTTTGGGGAAAACCAATTTTTTACTAAGTTTAACATATATTAATTTAACATCTATGCTCAGCATATTCCCTGTGAAACACTTTAAAAGAGCTCAATAGAAGGATATGGGCCTATAACGCTAAAATGAAAAGTACCTCAAAGGAGAGGTTGGAAAAGGGTAAGAAAGACTATTTTGGACTTTTTCAGCAACACAAACACACATATAGTGAAAGATCAGAGATTGTTATTCTTCCAATTCTCTCTATAAAAATTATTAAAAAAAAAACTTATTCTTGAGCATTATTCTTTTTTTTTAAGTAGGAAAATATCTTAAGTTTTGCTTCATTGGGCTGAGAAATTGAAAAAATGATCCAGTTGATGTTTGTTTCAAGCTGTAGTGCTGAAATGTTGGCACAGAGAGAAATCATTCAAAGCTATGGATATGGGAGGCTTCTCGGAGCTCTGGTGGCTGGAAAAAAATAAATTGGAAGCAAAATTGAAATATATTTCATAGTGGAAGGCAATGAGAGAAAGACTGATTTGAAAAGCTTACTAGATATCTAAGTTCCTTGAAGGCAGGAACCATTCTAGTACAATGTAAACACTCAAAACACTGACTATTCAATTTTAGGTAACAGGGCTTACTTACACTGAAGTTCAAACAGCTGCTCTAGAAACTAACAAAATATATTTCAAAATCCTCCTACTCTCCCTGAATTTCTATGCACTGGTGCTACAGATTTAAAGATAAAATTAGACTTCATTTGGTCCAGGCTACCAGTAAGATATGGTTTCTCCTTGGTTTGTGAGAATCATGAGACCATTCAAATCACTTTCAAACATTTTAAAGACAGTTGGAGATGGATCATTCTTAAAAGAAGACTTTTAAGACTTCTTTTAAGAAGGCCTTAAGCCCTTTAAGCTAGTTAGATATAATAGCTATATTACTAAATGAATCAAATATGCTAACTTAAAGGCCTATACTTGCTGGGGCCTAGAATGTCACTCCACTTCAAACACATTATAATATGTCCAACTAAAACTTTACTTAGGCCTTTTTTCTCTTTCAGATTCCACTCAAGAGCCTTCTAGTTAGTTTGAAAATTGAAACTGTGACTTATAGACAATCAAGCAACCAAGAATATAAAACAAATTTCAATTTTACAAGAAAACTAAATGAAGTTGTTTTAATTAAAATGATTTTTTAAAACTTTAAACTATTAGTCTGGAGAAGACAATGGATTTAAATAAAGTAAAAAAAAGCAAAAGGAAAATAAGGAATATTTCATTTCAAGGCCAAAAGACAAGCAACGTTGGGTTCTTTTAATTCACTACACAATAAAGTTAAAACAGCCTGCCTGATAATAGTAAAATTTTTGCAATGGAATTTAGCCAAACTGTAAGACAAGGCACAGAAGCTCAGATGTCCCTCAAAGGGTCAGCAGATTAGTGCTCTGAAAAGTATTTGCAAAAGCAAAAAGAAAATATGACAGTGACGTCTCTAGCATTCTGATGAGAGAGGACCCCCTTTCATGTTTTGTGGGGGAAAAAACAGGAACAAGAGGGACACATAAAGAGGTCACAGTCTATCAGCATAGTTTAAGTCAAATTTTTAAAAGATAAATCCATCACTAATTTGTAAATCTGCATTCTAGACATCAGCAAGAACCTAATAATAATTCTAACATTAAAAAAGTCAGCAAAAAGAAAGGTACTAACATAACACAAGCCTACTTAACCATATTTAAAAATGTTTTTCGGGGCAGCTAGGTGGCGCAGTGGATAGAGCGCCGGCCCTGGAATCAGGAGGACCTGAGTTCACATCTGGTCTCAGACCAGACACCTGACACTTACTAGCTATGTGACCCCAGGCAAGTCACTTAACCCCAATTGCCTCGCCAAAAAAAAAAAAAAAAAATTCAATTGGAAAACTAATTACCTTAAATGATGAATGCTGTCAAAGTGCAACATTATATAGTTATGTAAGACCAGGGAACAAATTTATTAAGCAAACATTTGCAAAGCATCTTAGAACACAATGACTTCAAGCATTCCTGTTACCTTCTATTTGACATGTTTATTTTTGATAAGACCCAATTCTCGTCTGTATCAAGATCTAAGTATCCAGAAGAAACAGCCAGGTGATAAGCTGTGTTAAAGGCTTTCAAGTTCTGGACAATCATGAAGCTGCTCAAACTGATTCATTTTGATTCAGCACAGTGAAACTGCTAGAGTTTTAGTGATCTTTCTTCCTAGAAGATAAAGCGTTGGGATAAAATCTTTACTCCTTAAAAAATTTCAAGTACTGCATATAATTTGTGGGAAAACTGCTTCAATGAAGTAACACCTAAATTAGGTCTTTGCCAAGTTGAAAGACCATGGCAATGTAGCAAGATGATGATAATTATACTTGATATAGGTTTGGGGTTCTTGTAATCACAAAAAAAATTGTTTTATTTTGTTTTTTGCAGATATATAGGCAGGATAAGTCAGTCAACAAGCATTTGGTAAGTACCCATTGTGAGCCAGGCACTGTACAAAATTCTGGGGATACAAAAATAGGTAAAAACAGTCCCTGTTCTCAAGGAGTCCACAATATGGAAACAACTATGTACATTCTATCTCAATACAGGATAAATTAGAGATAATCGACAAAGGAAAGGCATTAAGGGCAGACAGGAAAGGCTTCTTGTAGAAGGCAGACTTCTGGTTGGGACTTGAATGAAGCCAGGCAAGGCAGGAGGTGGAGATAAGGAGGGAGAGAGTTCCAGGCATGGGGGACAGACGTGAAAAATCCCAGAGTTGGGAGACAATGTTATGATTCAGGAAGAGCCAGGAAACCACAGTTACTGGATCTCTGAGGATAGTGAGAGGAGCAAGGTGGGAAAGGTACAAGGTCCAAGTTATGAAGGACTCTGAACATGGTGCAGAGGATTTTATATTTGATCCTAAAGGTGACAGGGAGTTACTGGAGTATACTGATCAGGGGAGTGCGATGTGAGGCAGAGACCAACCAGCAGATCCTTGCAACAATCCAGGAAGGATGGGATGAGGGCCTTCACCAGGATGGTGGCGAGGTCAGCCGAAAGAAGGGGGAGTACAAAAGAAATGTCATGAAGGTAAAATCGGCAGGCCATGGCAACAAACTGGATATGGGAAAGTGTTTGTGTGTAAGAAAGCGAGGAGTTGAGGATGACAAGCTCAGGCTTGCAGAAACTAGACAGAATTGAAAAACGATAGATCAGACTCAATCTGAGAGCACGGAATTCCTCAAAAAGACCACAGTAGCTATCAGCAAGGCTACAGAATTTGATTAAAGCCTTTAAGAAATTATGAAAAAATGGATAGTTATCCTTAAGGAACAGGTAAGAGAGGAATGGTCACTCCAGACACCATTGTCCTTCAAAAGAAACTTAAATTCACTGCCTCATCAATCAAGATCTGATCCTAAAACTCTTCTTTTCCAAAGAGCACATCTTTTCTAATTCAGTTTTGACAGAAAGTAGACACAGAAGTAGTAAAATATCTTCTGAAAATTTCATTCTCCATACCTGTCCTTTATTCAACCACTGAGACACTAATTTTCATTAAGATTAAATATGCTTAAATTACAGTCTGGACAAATGAGATAGCATTAAACCTGAGCACCTGGGTTGGCCTTGCCAGGATTCGAACCTGGATCATCTGTACATCTAAACAGAGGCTTCCACTGAGCACAAGACCAGCTGCGGGTGCAAATCCCTTCCCTACAACTAAAACCACTGACACTATTGTGAGTTTTTTTTTTTTTAAGGACAAGTATTACTTGACACTAAAAATATAGAGAAATCAGGAAGAATGTATACAAGCAAAACAATGGGTCTAAGTATGGCCAACAAGGCTTTGCATTCTAAGGAAAACTGGGGCATGTTACCTTGGCATTTTTCTAGACTGGGCAAAGCCTTGGCCTTCTTCTGAGGTAAATTTACTCGAGGATCTCCAACGGTCAGACCCAGGACGGTACCTGCTGGAAATTCTGCTGGAGATGCTATTCCTTTAATGAAAAGGATAAACTTAACAAAAAGTTATTCCAATCAAATATGCGGCTCTGTGTTCACTTTGATCTTTCCAGACTTTCCTATGTGCCTCCCTTTCTCTAGGGCTGACGGGTAAAAGACAATTTTTCTTTCACTTTCCCATAGACATTTTGCAAAACTAATTTATGTGTAAAGCATCACAAATACTATGAAAGATCATGATACAAAAACAAAAAAAAAATTTGTAACGTAATATAAAAATGTTTTCCATCTAGACCTGGTATGGGCAAAATAAGAGAACGCAATGATTATACCAACATGATATTCAGGTAGGTTTGAATTATTTAGTACCTAATTACATAAACTTAGTTACAATTTCACAATAACAGTCACTTGGAAATGATTATTAACTACACCTCACTCATGGAATTTACAGACCTCTAGTGTTCTCTTCATATAGCACAACAAATAACTAAGTCAAAAACCAAAAAAACTCACAACCTCAACAACTCTGTCATGTGAAGTACATATATTCTTACATATGTACAATTTGAAAGAGCTAATTACATTTCTTAAATAAGAAAAATAACAAAAATCAACTTAAATTTGCCCAACTTTCTAATTTTAAATTAACAATGAAATGTTTTAATTAATTCTATCCTTAGGACACATAACCAGCCTAAAAGTAACATGTATGTGTAACCTCCAGAAGCAGCCACCTTCACCTCTCCCCCTCCCCATTTCCCCTCTTGTATACCTCCCAACAATTCAAAAAAGGCTTCTTGACGATGATGGACAGATACACTATCAGGATTCTTACAGGCCTCAACCCACCAACTGTGAGGTACTGTTTCTGCATCTTCTACCTCCTAAAAAATAATAAATTCTATTATCAGGTAAGATAATATACATCAGACCTTAAGCTTCTGTGATTATGAGGCCCAAATTTGCTATTTTTCTCTTTTTGGTATTGCTCAGTAAATTGACACCATTCCTCTAAATAACCCACTAATTAATGTTGAATTATACTAATACAACTTAATTTCATAATTTCAAGACATAACAAACAAAGTTAATTAAACAAGGAACTGCTGCTATATCCTTTTCAAGATTTCACATGAGGAAAAATGCATTAGGTTTTATTTAAGACCATAGATGTTGAATTCATTAAACTATTTCAACACCTGATATAAATCAACTTTCATTTTTTACATATATATAAAAGTGTGTATTTTTTTAAAAACAGGGTACTAAGAAAAGGCAGCCATCCTTTTTCTCTACCTCTCACACTTCTACAGAATACTCTTCTTAAAGCTGAAATATTAGTTAAAACAACTCATTACTGTTTTAAGAAAGCTTAAGTCTAAAAAATTTTACAACATTCTTATAAACTTCAATACAATAAAATTCTATACAATATATAGACACTTCAATGAGAATACGATAGAACTCAAAAGTTTAACATAATTACTTGACTGAGAAACACTACAGGACAGCAGAAAGAACACTGGATTCAGAGTTCAGAGACACCCGAGTTTACAAGCCTGCCTCTGGCTCTCATGGCATAGTTATGGGCAAATCCTTCACCTGCTCATTTGTAATATGGGATAATAAGGCATATACTGTCTTACAAGATTGTCGTATCATAAAAGAAGACATATGTAAATGTACTGCTTTGCAACATTTACAGCTATGTAAATATTAAATATATGAAGTTCATCAAAGATTCTAAAAGTACCTCAGGTAATGGGTTGATCTCTGAAGAATAAAGAGCCTGAGCCTGCGTTATCATCTCAATCTAATCTTTATGTAAGACATATCTAACCTTTTAGTCCTTGTCACCTCTCAGTACTTCCTTAAAATTCTCTGTGATGGTAACCTTGTCCTTGCCAATCTAATTCAGAACCATTCTCAAATCAAACCAATCACTGACTTTTGTATATATCCCATGTTTCAAAGCAGTACAATGTGTACTGTTGTATTTATGCTCTAGCTGGAATAATAGGATCAGTTATAAGCTAGGAGCTTATAATCCACCTTTCTAAAAGTTTAAAAGCACATCTTATCTGTTTTAACCATATCTAAGGTCAGAAAACAGGGAAAACTGAGGCATTAAAAAGTTATCTGACTTTACCAAGTTTATGCACTGAGTCAGTGAAGGAGATCTGACTCCAAAACAGATTTCCTGACCATACCTATCAAGAAAGATATGCCAAACTAATTAATAATGAAAAAAAAGGTCAAAACAGTTAAGTTATGATGTTATTTTCCTAGATTTATTTCACTGGGAGAAAAGGGAGGTAAAATGATAAAATGCAGAATGAAAAGTTTTATCAACTTCTAATACACTGTCTTAAGTTAGATTCTGTTTATTTGCTATGATAGTCATAAGAATTATGATTGCATACATCCTTACAGTATAGACAGAAGCAGTTTTCAGTGCCTCAGTAAGAATACTGTGAGATAGTGGACCAATTAGTCGATATCTGTTCATCTCCATTGTGAAATCACTAAAAACAGAAAAGAGGATAAGGATTTAAATATGCATTGCTATTATAAACTACCTGGAAAACAAACATAGAAAACTCTTTGCTAAGAATGCCCTAAGAGTTTGGGATAAAGCAGCCATATACCTGACCACAATGCCAGTAGTTGAGGATGTCCAAGAATATGGTTGAAATGGATTTCTAGTTCCATCACCCACAATTTTTTTCACTGGATTAGTATTTTTTTCTCCATCACTCTCCCTCTTTCTTTTCTTGCAATTCTCAGTCTGTTTAATGTGGCTTTTCTCTTCATGTGGCGTCAAAACTACTTCAGGGATAGAGGCAGCTGCTTCTGGAGGTTGCACACACTGACATACTAGTTTTAGTTCCGTTAATATGTCCTAAGGATAGAATTAATTTAAAACATTTCATTGTTAATTTAAAACTAGAAAGTTGGGCAAATTTAAGTTATTTATGTAATCTTTCTGTTAAAATTCACATAAACTTTACTACGCATCCCTTAGGCAATTTACCTAAAGCATTTTTATGAAAGTATCAACAATCTGAACAATTAAAAATCAGCCAACAGATTAGCTTGAATAAACAATGCAATTTTAAATTATTAACACAATGAGACTATGGAAGAAAAGGTAACAGCCAAACCATGAAAAAACTCATTGAAAAAAGTCATCAACATTCTTAAAATGGTTTATCCACCATTTTATTTAATAGGCTTATCACTTATTCAGCATCCAAATACTGTAGTGATTTTGTTAAATCAGTGTTTGTGTTACTTTTAAAAACAAATCTCCAAACTAGGCATGTTTTAACCATCTTTTTTAAAGCTTAATTATTACTGAAAAATCAGTCAATACTTATTTTTCAGTCCATATTTATGATCTTATGAAACATCTCTGGTTTCTGTTTATACACTCAAATACAGGACATTCAGCCTGTTTAAATATCCCAAGTTTTTGTAGTATCTATTTCCAATGAACACTATTCTAGGTTGCCTACCAGAAAAATCATCATTCTAAGCTGATAAAAAATGAAAAACCGTACCTGTTTGAGAGTTGGATGTGTCCATAACCACAATTTTCTATTTACAGGAGTGGTACTAGTGCCACCCTCAGGTTTCCAAATAAATGTGATGGGACCAAGCATTTCTTCAGGATATTTATCAGCCCGATAAAGAACTAGAGAGCCTTGCCGTTTTCCAGACAGACAGTGAACTGCTGCAAAAGTGAGTCCTAAAACAATGAGATGTGCAGAACCCTTATGATTGCAGTCTGAGAAGATAGCTTTCAGTAGTCTCCTTGCCTAAGCTCATTCTGGTAAAAGCATCAGAAATCATTTGATAGCTATCACAGCTTTCCTTAGACTATAAATTCTCTTAGAATTTACCAGAAGCCAAGCTTTTTCACATCTTTGTATCCTCCACAGTTGTGTACACACCTAAGATAAGTGAGCTTTAAAAACACTTCATCTATGATAACTATGACTACTGCTACCACTACTTCTACTACTACTACTACTATCTCTAGAGTGATGTAAAATTTTTCAAAAAAAATCTTTGTAAGTGGCTGCTGTTCATTAAAATTCTGCGAGAAAGGACTAATTTTTTTCTATTAACTCTGCAAAACAAAGTGAAGTAGCTCTATCCTATGTAAGCTGTGTATCTATATAACAATTATTACCTGTATCTATACTACACATTCGAGCCAGTGCCTTTAGTATTTCTTCCTCTTTGCCATTTAACTCCAGACAACAGTAGTATGATAAATCCTGTGCACAAAAGTGAGAAAAAGTTGAGTTTAAAAGACAGGTTTGAGATTTTTTGATGAAGTAGAACTCAATGAAAATTAAAAGCATATGATTGTCTTAAACCGCTAAAATTCCAAGATGATGAATTGCTTTCATTATCTTTTTAAGTTAATTATCACTCTAAAAAGGTTTCAACTTAGCATCAGTAAATGTTTTTGCACAATGAATGACAGGAAATGATTCACATTTATAAATTCCAATTTACTATTTAAAAGGTGATTTATATTGTGTTACAAACCTTTGAAAAACATTACAATACTCCCTACTTCACACAGTTATTTTAAGGATCAGAAGTTATAATAGATTTGAAGGAAAGCAATTAAACTAAATCTCTCTCTCTAAGTAGAGTACTAGAAGGCTTCTGCTTAAAAGCAGATTCCTTCCCCAACCTCCCAGAATACACTCAACATAAATAAAAACAAGTAGCCAACTCCTTGGTAGATACCCATCTTGGGGAGTTAATGCAGACACTCAAAATCATTTATTCAAAATTTGGGAATTTGAGATTTTTTTTGGCAATGATTTATTTTTACCCCATACTCTTTGTTCTTTAAAACCTTGAAAACATACAATATTTATTGATACAAAGGACTTTAAAAGTTCTCAAGTTGGTTAAAAATTAACCAATTGATTGGTTCAACACCCCTCCCTCCTCTACACTCCCTGCAATCTCATATTTACCATTAATTTGCTTTAAAAAATATAAATCAAGTTAAAATATAAGAGTGATTGTGACTACTTCCAAATTTGCAGGGTCCAAACTAATTAGGTTTTTGTTGTTACTGTTCAGCTATGTATGACTCTTCATGACCCCATTTAGGGTTTTCTTGACAAAGATACTGGAGGGGCTTGCTATTTCCTTCTCCAGCTCATTTTAGAGATGAGGAAACTAAGGCAAACAGGGTTAAGTGATTTGCCCAGGGTCACACCGCTAGTAAGTGTCTGAAGTTATATTTGAACTCAGGAAGATGAATCTTCCTAACCCCAGGTCTAGCATTCTATCCACTGCTTCACCTAGCTGCCCAATGAGGTTTTGCCATACTGTTAATTCCCTAAAAAGTCTCAGAAAATACTAAACAACAAAAGCAAAAGAAATGAAAGCCCAGCATCATACCTGAAGGAGGCAATGCTTTGTCATTGCTCGGTAAGAAGCTCTGTAACTCTTAACGGTGGGACTCTCCCCTAAGCAGTATCCCCATTTCTTCACCATATGGAATCTTTTGGCATGCCAGATGTGAGTTTCTAACCACACATTCTTTTTTTGTCTCCGATTAAATTCCAAGAGCAGGTTTAAGTGACATCTCCGAGCCTTGCGGCATTTATTTTTTGAATGCTCCTTCTTCTGATGCTCTGTTTTCTCAGCCTACGTTGCCAAAAACATTGTTTTTTTCAGAGGTAGTTTTTAAATCCCAGTATAAGATTTTGATTCTAACACATAACAATGTTAAACTGCACAATTCAAAACCACTAGGTTTGCGATTAAAATTTTATTTTTTGTATGTCATATCTGTCAGAGTTTTTGTCTTGTTCTTAATTTGTGGCACTTTCTGGAATGACACTATAAAAGATTTGACAAGTAAAAATCATGTTCTCTTTGTCTTAAGACTTTACTTCTAGTAAAACAAAAAACATCACAATGATTAGTTCCTAAGCAGGAAATAACTGTCTGCATTTAGGCTACTCACTGACAGTCTAATGCTATTCACTTTGAATCATACTACTTATAGCACAAAACCACAATTTAGGTTAATATCTGGAGCAACAACAGGCTTTTGTGATACTTGATACTTATGTGATAAAAAGAAACCATTTTTATGATCTTAAAATGCTCAAATCTAAGACTATGAGCAAAAAACTAATCAAACTTGTACAGGCTTAAAACATTCAGCCTTTGAACCTGAAAGCAAACTCAACTCTCCCCATGGACCTACTCTACCATATCTAGAAAAGAACATTAGAGTTAAAAAAGGCTTTAAAGATCGACTAGTCCAATCTCTTTATCTAATAGATGAGGACACTAAGACCCAAAGAGGTAAGTAACTTTCCAAATGTCATGTGGCCAGCTGGTGGTGGAATTTAGGCTTAGCTCTAGTCCTATATTTGATTTAATGTAAAAATTTAATGTAAAAAAAGAGGCAAGCAAATCAAAACAACTCTGAGGTACCATATCACACCTATCAGGTTGGGCAAGATGACAAAACAAGAAAATAATAAATGTTGGGGAAGATGTGGGGAAACTGGAACACTAATGCATTGTTGGTGGAATTGTGAAATGAGTCAACCATTCTGGAGAGCAATTTGGAACTATGCCCAAAGGGCTATAAAAATGTGCATACCCTTTAACCCAGCAATACCACTTCTCAGGCTATATCCCAAAGAGATCACACAAATGGGAAAAGGACCCACGTGTACAAAAATATTTACAGCAGCTCTTTTTGTGGTGGCAAAGAATTGGAAATTGAGAGGATGCCCATCAATTGGGGAATGGCTGAACAAGTTGTGGCATATGAATGTAATGGAATGCTATTGTGCTATAAGAAATGATGAACAGGCTGACTTCAAAAAAACCTGGAAAGACTTGTATAGTCTGATGCTGAGTGAAGTGGGCAGAACCAAGAGAACGTTGTACACAATAACAGCCACGTTGTGCGATGACTAATATTGATAAATTTAACCCTTCCCAGCAATACAAGAATCTTAAGACATCTCCAAAGGCCTCGTGATGGAAAATGCTATCCATATCCAAAGAAAGAACTATGGAATTTGAATGCAGATTGAAGCATACTATTTGCTATTTTTTTTCTCTTCCGTTGAGTTTTGTTTCCTCTTTCTGGTGGATCCTCCTATTGGTTCTAATTCTTACTTAGAACATCACTAATGTAAAAATATGTTTAACAGGAATGTATATGTATAGCCTATATCAGATTGTGCGCCATCTTGGGGAGGGTAGTGGGGAGGAAGGGGGGGAAAAATTTTAAACTCAAAAGCATATGGAAGTGATTGTTCATAAATCAAAATAAATTAATTAAATAATTAGATAATTAATTAAAGAAAGGAAAAAAAAAAGAGGTAAAATCAGCCCAGCCATCAGCTGGTTAGTAAAGCAGCAGTACTAGGTGCCTAAACATATATGTTACATATACATACAATACATAAACACTTTCAACACACAGATATAAAAACTATACAAGACCAGAAAAAACATCTACCTATTTGTCAATTTCTCTTCCAATCTTGCAATGCCCAATTCTTTCCTAATTAAATTAGAGGAATTTTAAGGCTCTCTGGATGCTTTACTAACCTCTGCAGGAAGGCCATTAAAGACTCTTCCACAAACTCTTCCTTGGTGCTCTACGTCAGAGCATTAAACTACCTGGGTTACACGGGGCTACCACCTGTATGATGTAGTATTTCATTTCTTATATTCTTGGACCGTATTTACCTGTCAAATATGTTCAAAATTTGGCCACAAATATAAACGTCCACTAAGGGGTGAAAGGTAGAAAACCAAGTATCACTTAAAAGGCAAGGCAGAAAAGCCAAGATTCAACATGAAACATTTATTAGGCACCTTCTATGTGCCAGGCACTATGCTAAGTGCCAAGGCTACAAATAAGAAAAAGACAGTCTCTGCCCTCAAGGAGCTCAGAATGGGAAGACATCACACAAAAGGTAACTGAAAAGCAAGGGAAAGGGTAGAAAAAGGTACCCCGTACCATGGCATGATGATGGTGGAATTCAAAGCAAGGGGTGTGGCCAGGAGGAAAGGGCAGAGGCAAGGGTACTGAGGAGGTATGAGTACCTAAATCATAAAGAAATTTATCTTAAAAAGATTCTCTGGTACACATAATTTTACTATATATTAAAGATGAAAGCAAATTTGCATACTGAGATGGATGTGCTTGTTTATTTTTACATAAAGAATTAAATCTTGGCGAAACATTTGATGCTGCAGGATGAAGAGCATCGTCAACATTTTTCAGAGTTGATCAATATTTTGATTTCATAATCGTCAATGCTGTGTTCAGAATCAAGGCTGTAGTGAAGTCATGCGATACAACACAACACAGGCAAGCGCTGCCAGAATCACCTCAGATTCATTGCACGCTTGATTTTGAATTAGTTTTTGGTCACTGCACGTTCAGAAACCTTTTTCTGTTGCCAAATTTTTCATGACCCCCACATTCAGTTATACGACCCCATATGAGGCTGCGACCCACAATTTAAGAGTGCTGCTTTAAGCCTCACATCTATGAAAATCTTCCTCACAAAAATGACTATTAAAATCATACCTCTTTCTGAGCAATCTCGCGAAGTCTTCTGGGAAGGCGCTTCACATTATGGCTCATGGCCCTTCTTCTCATATGTCGGGGAAGAGTCTGAAACACGAGTGAATTGGAAGATTTCTGTGTCACTGCCTTCAACATGGCATTAACTTCAGCAGCTCGGGCTTGTGCAAAAGTAGATGCTATGAAGAAAATTGCACTCTTAGAAAGTAAAAAAGTGATACAGGAAACACCCACAAAATGTTTCATTTGCTTGGTTCTTGAAGACAAAAGGAAAGGGAAAGTTTCCAGTAGTAGAACGCACTTCCCCAAGTAGTCCTGCCTAGGACAGACATGGGGCAGTCTGCTTCCCTAAAAGTACCTACCTGTTATATATTTAGGGATTTCCCGAGCAGCACCTTGGTGCCCTCCTCTCCAACCTGCTTGTCCTTTGCCCTTCTCTCCTCTGCACTGACTCTTGCAAGGCTGTTCATTCATACAAGGTTCAGAAGGTACATGTGTCGATTTTGGCTGCTGATGCTGTGGAGCTCCAGAATGGGACTCTTAAGATTTTCAAAAAGAAAACAATAAGTAACATAATCTAGTATGAAATGAAAAAGCACTAAGATATCTCAGGCATAAAAGCTTATCAATCACTCAACAACATCTACTGAGCATTTATTATGTACAAAACTCCATGCTAGGCACTGTAAGGGAGACACACAGACAAATGAGACTAGCTCCCTGCCCCCACAGCCCCAAGGGGCGTTTTCAATGACAGCATAGTAAGCATGTACAAGTAATCATAGGGGGTATATGGCTGCCTTCAACACTGGGAAGACCCCCAATGACAGACTTAGGAACACTGGGTCAAAGCTGCAGAGAAGCAGATTAGGGCTTGCTGCGAGGGCAGACTCTCTAACAATTAATTTACAAGCTGTCCAGATAGGGTGAGTCCCTCTGCACCGAGGTCTTTAAGGAGGGTGTCTGATCACTGTCAATCAAGAGGTGCTCTTCATAAAGCTGTGAGGAATGATTGGGAGCCCTACTCCATTTTAATCAGGATTAATCAGTTTGATATTTTACATAACTCATACAGGAATAATTAGATAAAAATACATTCTTATAGTAGGTCTCAAACTTTAATCCAACACTCACCACTTCTTTACCAGTTATGAAAGTCACTTGTGCAAATACAAGAACGCTAACAAAAATATCTCCATCCTGTTCTGCTCAAACTCCCTGTCCAAACCCAGCATTGCTGTGATGTCTTGATTCTTTGGAAAGTTCCCCAATTTTATTTATTACCTCCGGACCATTCTCTCATCCAATATGAGCATGTGACCATCTTATGACTACTTAGTCACTAGAGATGACTCTTGCCTTGCCCATCTTATGACCACAGAAATGTCAAGAGCTTCACCCACCTGTGACCCCCACTGCTGATATACCAATTTTTTGGCTGACACATCTTTTTTGACCCTCAAAACAAGGTCTATCAACCAATGGGACTTTGTATTTTGTGATGCCCCTCTCCAGAGTGTGCAGGTATCAAATGCTAAAAAAACAAGGTCCTGGGGACCAGAGGCATTTCAGATCGCCAGGAAGATCAGAGGTCCACTTCATTAAACAGGCCCCCGAACCCATGAATTGCTATTAGCTTGAAGCTCTGCTTTGTGATGAAAAGAAACAAAGAAAGCTAAGAGTATAGCAGGGTTTAGGAAAAAAAATTTTAAGATAAGTGAGATGAAAATGTTTGCACGCCAAAAGAAAGAAATCAATGGAGACTAAAGCTACAAATCATCAAGAACTATTTGATTAGTCAATGACCAGGAGAAGGCAAAAGAGGATGAGATCCTTCATCTTCATACTCTTCATGTACCTAGCTCCAGCCTTTGGTTCCTTCTCCCCTCTTCCCTTAAAGCTTCTATTCTCTTGAGTTATAATACTAGGCTGCTACTAACTACTGTTCACAACTGCTAGTTAATAACATTAAAATTTTATGATCATCTTTATTAGGGAAAGAAATAAGTATTTAAGTGTCTACAGTGTGTACTATGACTACAAGAAAAATGTTAAACAGCCTCTGTCCTGAAAGAGGTTACATTTTACTGGATAAAAAATAAAACACAGCAGTTTAAAAATGCAATTTGTTATGTGTATAATAGCTACCAAAACAATCTGGTATAAACAACTCAATCTAAATGGAAGTATATAGACAATACCTTGTTTCTGATATTGGAAAGACTTTTCATTTCCATTATGATGCTTTACTCCTCTCTCATCCACAGCTCCAAAACCTGAAGATAAGGTCACATTGGTTGGCTGGTTTCTCATTTTCTTGGCATGTTTCTTTTCTCTTGCATTAGACATTTCTATAAAAGAAGCATCCATATGCTGTCGTAAGATCAAGCTGTTAGACCTTACATCAAAAATCAACACATATTAGAATAATTTTACTTAGAATGACCCATTAAACTTGATTTGACAATATAAATATTATGATGAGATGAATGATTTACCCAAAGTGATGACAGAGAAAATGTTTAGATTCTTAATGCTTCATTTTACAAAATAGCAATATTGTATTTACCTAGTTCAATAAGGTTTTCATTATTACGAAACTGAACAAAGAACAAAAAAAATATATAACATTGAATCTCTATTATGTATGCACAACTTTTTTTTTTAAGTATATGTTACTGTTTCATGGAACTTGTCTCTTTTCTCCTTTTTCTGATATAATTATCACTACTCCCCACAAGTCCCCTTTCATCTCATGTCCCCCCAAATTCCTTCCTGTCTTTCAATTATTTTCCTTACAATGTTGTAGTCAATGTATAAATTGTTCTACTTCTACTCACTTCACTCTGTATCAGTTTATACAAGTATTTCTAGGTTTCTCTGAAAATCTTTTTTCTTTTAATCATTTTGTACAATACTAACATTTATGTACTATAATTTGTTCAACCATCCCCCAACTAATGGGCACCCTCTTTGTTCCTAGTTCTTTGCTGCAACAAAAAGCACTGTACCACTATTTTTATGCAGAAGATCCTTTCTTTCGATTTTTTTGAAGTATGTATCTAGATATAGTATAGCGCTTTGCTGAGTCAAAGACTACACAGCTCAGTAACTATGGGGCATAAAGGTTCAAAAATGTCTTTCCAGGATGGCTATACCAATTCACAGCTCCACCAACTGAGCAGAGTTCCTCCAACAGGTGTCCTTAACATTTTTTTCATCACTGCCAATCTGATCGATGGAAATACGGTAGAATCTCTTAATTTGAATATCCTATTATTACTGATTCAGAGTATTTTTTCATTTGGTTGTTGATAGTTTGCATTTCATTCCCTGTTTGAATGGTTTGACCATTTATCTATGTGGAACTGGTCTTGTTCTTATACATTTGCATTAAATCCTTCTATAACATAAAGGATCTTCATCAGAGAAATTAGCTGCAAAGATTTTTTCCCCCAGTTAACTTTTCTTCTAATCTAGCTGCACTGATTTTATATAAATAATTTTCAATTTTATGTAATCAAAATTGTTCATTTTATGCTCTTTTTCTCTTACTGGATCAAGAACTCTTCCCCTAACCACAGCTAGGAAAGTGTTTCTTTCTACCATAACATCAGACATGACTTTTCATATCTAAATTGTGTCCATTTGGAGATCATTGTGGTAAACGTGTAAGATGTCAGTTTAAACCTAATTTCTGCCAAATTACTTTCCAGCTTTTCTAGAAGTTTTTGTTGAATATATTATCCCTGTCATTGAGTGTTCTTAAATTTATTCATCAAACATCATACTTCTCCTTCTGGGTCTTATGTATTTCATCTCTTCCAGGGATCAACTTTTCTATGTTTTAACCTGCACCAAATAGTTTTAATGATTACTGCTTTTTAGTCTATAGTCTGAGATCTGGTACTGCAACTCCCCTACAAACCATTTTCCCCCCATTATTTCCCTTGCTTGAGGTTCTTGGCTTAGTGTTATCCCCTGTAAGGTTAACTTCTATCTACTATATATTCATCTTCTATCTACAGATCTATATAGACTGTCTCCCCCATTAGAATGTAAACTCTAGGAGAAGTTTTTGCTTTTTCTTTTTATCCCCAGGGCTTTGAAAAGGTACCTAATGTTTAATAAATGCTTACTGATTTTTTTTTTGGATTAATTTTAGTATTTTGTCAAGTTCTATAAAGTAATTATTTGTTAGTATGACTGGTATAGCACTAAATCTGTAAATTAATTTGGTTAGTAATGTGTTTTTATTATATTGACAATCCAATTACAAGCAGTTAATATTTCTAATTTTTTAAGTCTGTTATTTCTGTAAAGTGTTTTACAACTGTCTTCATATAATTCCCATGTGACTTGGTAGGTGGACTCCTAGATATTTTATACATTTGCATTTTCAATCAGCTTCTCTGCTTGGTTTCAACTCTCAAATTATCATGCCTCCCTCAGGATAAGCTCATCGCCTAAAATCTCCTCACCAAAAGAGATTAACTCAGTTTTTATATTCAGCAACTTCTCCATTGTCTTTCTCCTCTGACTGGAAGGCTGAAGGGCACTACAATAAATGACTCCCAAAGCCTTCTTTATAGGGGGCTCAGAACTTTTCAGCTAACTTATTTTCTATCAGTTGAATCATGCCCCTACTCCAGGTTCTTTTTTGTATCCCTTGCCCTCAGAATAGTGCCTGGAATGTAGAAACATGTGTTTGGCTATGACATTCTGTAGTTATTCTGAAAGGAATTTCTTTTTCTATCTCTTCCTGTTGGGTTTAATTGGTGCTACCCAGAAAAGCTAATGATTTTTGTGGTTTTGTTTCATATTCTAACTCTATGCATGAAGTGATTAACTATTTAAGTTTTAGTTGAATCTTTAGGGTTCTCTAAAACATATCATCTACAAAAAGCAATAATTCTGCTTCTTCTTTGACTACACATATTCCTTCAATTTTTTCTTCTTGCCTTATTGCTCATTAACTAGTTTTTGTAGAACTGTATCAAATAATAGTGGTCAGAATAGATACCTTTGCTTCATCTGTGATCTTACTGGAGACTACTAATTACAACTTATAGATAATGCTTGTTCTTTAGACAAGATTCAACTTGCTATATTAAGAAAACAGTCCCTTTATTCCTGTCTTTAAAAAAAAAAAGTTTTAAAACAAAAATGAATGTTGTTTTATAAAAAGCTTTTTCTGCATCTATTTATATAATCATGCGATTTTCTTGGTTTTGTTATTAATGTAGTCTATTATGTTTATAGTTTTCATAATGCTGAACCAAACCTGCATTTCCTGGTATTAATCCAAGCTGGTCCTGGTGTACAATCTTTTTTAATATGTTCCTGTAGCCTCTCTGCTAATATTTTACTCAAAATTTTTATAATGAGATTCATTAGTAAGATTGGACTATAATTTTCTTTCTCTGATCCAACTCTCATTTAGATATGTGGTCCATACTCATCTCATGGAAGGAATATGATAGGATCTCTTTCTTTATTTTTGCAAATGACTTACGTAGTATCAGAATAATCTGTTCTTTGAATAAACATTAAGATTTGCTTTCATAGACTGTATAATTTATTTTTCTGAACTGGGTTAAATTCTCTATTTCTTGTTCTACTAATTTAGGTATTTTCCATTTCTATAAACATTCATCCATTTATTAGGTTTTGTTTATAAACATCCATTATTATTATACTGACAATCCAATCATAAGCAGTTAATATTTCTAATATTTCTAATCAGGCAAAATGCTTTCTAATAATGTCTTTTATTTCTTCTTCATTTGTGACCAATTTTTCATTTTTTCCATATTCATGATTTGGTCTTCCACTCCTTTAAAAAAAAAAAATCAGATTAGCTAAACTTACCTATTTGATGAGTTTTCTTTTTAAGCCCCTTCCTAGTTTTACCAATAGGCTTTTTTTTGCTTTCAATTTTGTTTTTCTTTTTTGATCTGTAAAATTTCTATTTTTGTATTTAGTTGGGTTTTACTGGTTGCTTTTCTAACTTTTTCTAGTTGTGTGAATAATTCATTTTTCTGTTCTTTTTTTGTTCATGAATATTAATGTAAAAAAATTTCTCTTAAGGACTACAGTATACTCCTCAAGTTTTATTACGCTGTCTCACAGTCTTTTTAATGAAATTATCTCATTTTTATATTTGTTCTTTGACCAACCAATTCTTTAGGACTGGTCTACATTTAAGTTTGAATGCTTTTTTTAACTGGACATCACTGTAATTTTCATTATGTTGGAAGTCAGTAAAGGGTGTGTTAAAATTTCTTTTTCTGAGTTTGCTTATGTCCTAGTTCACAGTCAATTTTTGTAAAGATGCCATGCACAGCGGGATTAGTGATCACCAGAGACCCATCATCTTTAACTGTTCTAAAATTCTAATCAGATCCTTGACTTCTTATTTATTTTTTTGTTAGATCTGTTTAGGTATAAAAAAGGTACTGAGGTTGCCTATTAGTTTTGCTGTCTATTCCTGTCATTTAATTAACTTTTCCTTCAAATACTCAGATGCTATGGCATTCAGTGCATATGCATAGTGCTATGATTTCATTATCTATGGAGCCTTTAAGTATGATATACTTTCCCTGTTTATCTCTTTTAACCATGTTAATTTCTACTGTAATTTTTTTCTAAGATGACTGCTACCCCTGCTTTTTAAAATTTATCTGAACAAAATAAATTTTTCTTGACCCTCATTTTTAACTCAGTATTAAATTATGTATACCCTTTGAACCAGCAATACCACTACTAGATCTGTATCCCAAGGAGATCAAAGAAAGAGAAAAAAGACATATATTTACAAGGATAACAGCTTTTTGTGATGGCAAAGAGCTGGAAATTGAGGGGATGCTCAATGGGGGAATGGCTAAACAAGGAGTGGTATATGATTGTGAGGTAATACTACTGTGCTGTAAGAAATTACAAATGGGATAGTTTTAGAAAAACCTGGCAAGACTTGTATGAACAAAGCAAGGCAAAGAGGAGAGAATCAGAACAATTTACAAAGCAACACCAATACCGTAAAGATAACCAATTATGAAAGACTTAGCAACTGTGACCAACACAATGACCTATTACTGTTCCAAAAGACTCATGATAAAAAAGGCTGTCTATCCCCAGAAAGAAAACTGGTAACCTCTGAGTACCAGATTAAAGCTTTTGTTTGTTTTTGGAATACAGCTAATGAGAAAATTTGTTTTTCATGTCTTCATATTTGTAATGGGTTTTGTATTTCTTGACTTCTCAATGAGTGGGAGAGGGATGGACAAGGCAAAGAATTGAAAATAAAACTCAATTTTTAAAAACCTGTTCATATTCTTTGCCTATTTTTTGAATGAGGAATGGCTCTTATATTACTAGAGTTTTATAAAATCACTCATGCTCTGTAACAGGTGGCAAAGTACATAGAAAGCTGGTACTGGAGATGGCAAAACCTATGTTCAAATTTGGCTTTAGCATGTCTGTCTCAGTTATCTCATCTGTAAAATGGGAATAGTAATAGAACCTAAGTTCCAGGGTTGTTGTGAGGGATCAAATGAGATAATATTTGTCAAGTGTTATGCAAACCTTAGAATAGTGTATAAATGCTAGCTATTATGACAGATGTAGCAGGCTAGGTATAAATTATTGGAAATTGTTGGGGAGGATGAGGATGGGGTTTGAGGAGCCAAAAACTAGTCCAGTCAGTTTTGAAGTAGAAACAATCAATAAATATTTACTACACACCTACTACGTGCCACTTCTAAATGCTGAGGATACAAAAAGGGGGACTAGACAGTCCCTAACATCAAGGAGCTGGTGGGGAAGACAAACAAGCTACATACTGAATAAAGAAAAAATAATTAGGAGAGGGAAGGCACTAGAATTAAGTGAGGTTAGGGAAGTGAGTGATCATGATGATGATGATGATGATGCAGTTTGAGGCTGAGGAGATTAAGCCAGCTCTGAAGTGAGCAGCTAGGTGATGAAGTCAACAGTGTTGGATCCCGAGTCAGTAAGACCCGAGGTCAAATTTGGCCTCAGACGATGACTAGCTGCGTGACCCGCGGTTGTTGTGAGGATCAAATGAGGTAAAGTGCTTAGCAAACTTGAGGCAGTCTGGGAGCCCCGCAGTCTGAGGTGGGGGCGGATCCCCAGGCCGCTGGTTCAGATCTCAGATTAGGGCTGGAAGGGGCCTAGGAGGTCACCCAGTCCTCCCTCCTCACTCTCCAGACGAGGACGCTGAGGCCCACGGGGCTCATGCGACGTTTCCAGGGTCACTTGGATGAGATCACTGCGTGCAGCAATGCACGCGGGCACACAGTAGGTGCCCACTAAGGCTTCTTCCCTCCCCTTCCCTGGCCTCACCCGGGGAGTCAGACCGAGGCGGGCTAGGAACGCCGCTCCAGGGCCTCCGCCTCCGCCGCCCGCGGCTCCGGAGCCGCAGCCGGTCTGGGGTGAGCGGCGCGGACAGCGGACCGGGTGCGGGGGTGCTGTGCCGGGCTGCGGGACCCCAGCCTCTAGTCCACCCCAGAAGCTGAGATGCCGCCCCCGCCCGCTCTTCCCCCTCGTTCGCCCTCTCTGCCTGTGGGCCCCCAAACTTACCTAGAGCCGGGGTTCCCCGGCACAGCCACAGTCCCTCCGGCCCAAGCGCGGCAGGTTCGACTCCCTCCAACCGACGCCTACCCAGGAGCGTGCACGGCAGGTAAGATGGAGAGCGCATGTGCAGGCACAAGGGCTTCCTCGCGTGGCTCGGCGTTCCTGGAAAGACTACAACTCCCAGAATGCCGAGAGACTCCGCCTGCGGGGCGTGTTCTTTCTGCCGAAAAGGGACTTTGCCTGTGGGCTGATGTGGCCAAGTAGCAGAGCCTGAAGTTACTCTTTTCACTTTCCATGCTTACTGCACCTTGAACGAGCTGCAGAAGAGAAAATTTACACATGTCATCCCTGATTAAGAAAATCATCAGCACAGCCAAAGCACCAGGTCCAATCGGACCCTACAGGTAACGGCGCATGTAAGAGTGGGCTCATGCACGCAGTCTGGGAGCAGTAGGGCTGAAAGGGACGTTAGAGGTCATCTCACTCATTTTACCGATGAGGAAACTGAGGCCCAGAGAGGGAGTGTTACACCACTGCTCGGTGGCATAGCTGGCGTTGGAACACAGGTCTGTTACTGGACGGCACAATCCTGTTTGTGGAATCAAATACAGAATATAATTTTAAATCTGCTCAGTAACATTTTTAGGGATGTTCCCAGGAGGCATAGTCTCTAGAAATCCTGACTATATTACTGTTAAAGGATTTTGTATGCTGTTAATGTGTTTTGGGTATTGAGAAAGAAAAAGTACTACTGATGAGGTCTAGAGGTTTAGGGGTGTTGGGACCCCAAGATCACAATATGCGGGTCCTGCCCGAAAGAATTCAACCCAAGCCTTCCTTCAGCCAAAGATAAGGTTTATTAGAACATCTGTCATGTTGGGCAGACTCTTAAGGAGTCTGAATGTTAGTGAGCTATTGGCTACATTTTAAGAATCTGAGTAGTGGTTAGAGTCTAAGAATCTAAGCACCTTAATGGGGACAAGATGGACCTTACATAACAGAAAGACTGTGGGAGAAATCTAGGAGTGGCCAAGTAGTTTGGGGTGACTGGAGGAGAGGTCTAAGGAGGATCTGGATGGGAGTGGCTAGTAAACTGGGGTGAACACAACTCCTGGGACCAGGACCACGTGGCCAAGGGAGAATGGAGCCTAGCTAGGATTAAGTGAGGGAAATGGCTGTGGCCATAGGGAGGGCTAGGCTAGGTTAGGGGAAACAGAATTGGGAGACTGGGTATAGCCACAAAGAAAGGTCAGTTGATGGGATTATAGCCTCATGGGAATGCCAGAGATTTGGCCATGTGGGAAAGTCCAGGGTTTTTCCTTTTTGGGGTGTAGGTCCCATCCTCATCAGATCCAGTGGCCAGATATAGATCAAGACAACTGTAGATGGCCCAGCATGGAGCCCTTAGAGCTTGGTCAGACCAAGTTCAACCACTGCATCCAAGCCATTGCCAGTGGTCCTGACTTTTGTCTTGCCACTGACTTCTGTGATTCTAGAAGAAAGAGTGAGGTTGAGGACTTTGTGAAACTGCCTCACTTAAATACAATTCACAGGCAAGTCAAGATGTCACCCCAGGATGTTGTTGGTCCTCTTTGAAATGAAGGATGGGGCCAGCTAGGTGGTGAAATGGATAGAGCCTTGGGGTCAAGAGGACCTGAGTTCAAATGTGACCTCAGACACTTGACACTTACTAGCTGTATGACCAGTCACTTAACCCTGATTGCCTCACCAAAGAAAAAGCAAAACAAAACCAAAAAAAAAAAAAATGAAGGATGAGTAACAAGAAGTATTTTTCCAGTGTCTTAAGTCATCTACCTGCTCTGATTGACTTACTCTGTAATAAGGTGCCTCCTCTTTACCTGATTAGTGAATGGTAGACTGGTCTAAACTCCATTACACAAATTGTAACAGATCTGTCATCTACTGGTGGAGTGTTTAATGCTCTGAATGAATAAACTGCAGTTGTACTTATCTCTTTGTATCCTGAGTAAGAGAATTCCCAAAATACCACTGAAACATTAGAAGTAATTTTAAATATATTTTATGGAAATCTAATAGGCATTTTATTCATTGTACATGACCATTTATCAAAATCAGTTAAATCCATTCCCTAAATGTTTGCCTAATAGAGCTTAATTAAATATATTTGCTTTGACCAGATCTACCTTATTATCTAATTATCATCACGTCCTGGCACATAATAGACACTTAATAAATGCTGGCTTATTGATCAACTGCTTCATAGTTTGAAGTTTAATCTCAGTATCATCTTGTAGGGTTTCCTATCTAGTGCTTTGCTCTAATGATAGGATGAAATTTTTCCGTGAGTGTGGAGGATCAAGGCACTCCATCAAAATGGAAAAACTAAAACATTAAGCTTTCAGCATGACTAAATTAGGAATATTATACAAAAGTAACAGGCTTATATTTGCAAATATTAGAAAAAGAGACTTTGGAAGAAAAATCTGTAATGATTTGTTAAGTTGACCATCTTTAAAATACATAGTATATAAATGACATAAAAAGAGTACTAAAGAAAGATTATTAGTACCAAAGAATGCTTCTTTATAAATTTAAACTTCGGCATTGTATTCCTTAATGCTAGAAATAATGAAGTACTGGCTTTGGTACATCTCTGATTTTATTGGTGTGGGTATTTAATCTACATACAGATAAAATTCACCCCCACAATGCAGTTGTTGCATAATTGACTAAATTAAATGGGAAGCTCTAATATGGTAAAGTGAAGAAGAAAGTGGAAAGAAGTGAGTGGATGAAACAATGATGGAGGGTACAAGAATACAGTACAAGACAAAGTCCACTTGCAGCCAGACTTTGAGTCCAGTATAAAACAGGCTAGAAAGGAAGTTGAAACTGGGAAGGACAAAGAAGAGAAAAGAAGGCTGTGAGGGTCATAGCTAAAGAAATTAGTAAGAAGGAAAGGAGAAAACAACAAATTTATTTAGCACTACTGTGTGCAAAATACTGTACTAAGTGCTGGGGGAACTAGAGTTTAAATAAGATGTGACCTTATTCTCCGTGAACTTACAATTAAATTAGAAATGAGACACATAGCTATCAAATATTACATGAGTACATTAATCACACACAAAAAAATACATGAAGTTGAAGGAGAAGTTAGAAGAAGTTCTCATTTAAGTTTGACTTTTAAAGCATGGGAGAAAATCCAACCAGCTTAGGGGTTGCATATATGAAATGGGGCAATATGAGACAAGGCTGAAAAGAGAGTTGCCCCAGATTGTGGCAGGCCTTCTGTTATCAGACAGAAGAGTTTGGCTTTTGCTCAGTAAAATACTTGAAATAGACTTCTTCTTCACCTTTATTTTCTGGCTCAGCACACCCTTTCTACAGGAGATCCTTTCAACACCCCACCACACTCCCATGCCTCCCTTCTGAGTGAAGAAAGGTACAGGTTGTAACCATGGCTAGTTGATCTTGTGAGACTCCCTCTGTCCCACCCAAAATGGAAAGGGGCCCATGAACTTTAACTCACTAGCCACTACCCTTGAGCAAAGAGCCAGCTAAAGGGAAGCTCTAGCCATGAAGTGATCTGAGGGGCAAAGTATGGTACGCTTTGGGAAGGAAGGGAATTTTACCAACAACACCTGCTGACCTGCTGTTTTAAATGACCTGGTCAGTTCATGCTGGAACAGAAAGGAAAAAGTTGAGAGCTTGCATGAGTATGGGAGGGGACAGAGGGAAAGAGTTCAATTGTTTTATCTTTCAGATCCTCCCTTTCTTCCTAACTCATTTCTATAGAGGATGCCATCATCCTTCTACTCATCTAGGTTTACCAAATCAGTCATCCTTGACTCTCTTACCATCCCTGCCTCCATCCAATCAGTTGCCAACACATTAATTCTACCTCTGATCCTTATAATCTTTCTACTCTATTATTGTGATCAATTAATTGGTCTACTTGCTTCAGGTCTATCCACTCTCTGCTCTATCTTCCACATAGCCACAGAAGTGATCTTCCTTAAGCACAAGTCTGACCGTTTCACTCCCCTGCTCAAGAGGCTTCAGTGATTACCTCTTGTCTCTGGGATTAAATATCCTCATTTCCCACCTGGCTGCATTCATTTTGGACTTCCCTAGCAGCTCCACCACACCCTTAGTGAACTCATCATTGGGAAATATCATTTTGCAAGGTCCAATAAACCTTGTTGCTTCACATCTCTTCACTTACCCTTAGATTGGAGGATAGAAACTGAAGAACATCTGCACAGACAAAATTAATGCACCTAGGATAAGAAAGGAAGTGATCAAATGGGAAAACATCTTCGTATCAGATTTCTCTGATAAAGGTTAGGTTTCTAAGATATATAAGCAACACACTTATGACCAATAGTCTCATTCCCTAATAGATAAGTGGATAAAGGATATGAACAAACAGTTCTTCAAAGAAGAATTACAAAGTATTCACAGCCACATGAAAAAATTCTCCTGATCAGTAATAAGGAGATAAATGAAGATCAGAACAACCCTGAGGTTTTACCATATACCTGCAAACTGGCAAAATGATTTAAAAATGGCAATAGTCAATATTGGAGGGGTTGTGGAATGATAGGCACACTGATACATTGTTGGTAGAGCTATGAAATGTTACAACTATTTTGGAAAGAAATTCTCAATTATGCAAATAAACTGACTAAAATGTCCATACCCTTTAAATCAGAGAATCCATTAGTGGGCTTATACCCGAAGAAAGTCCCCATATATACCAAATTATTTAGAGCAGCACTTTTTGTGATAGCTAATTGGAAACTAGAGTAGATACCTATCAATTGGGGAATAGCTAAACAAATTCTAGTACATGAATGTAACAATGTTAAGGTGCTATAAGAAATGATGTGTGGGGGGCAACTGGGTGGCACAGTGGATAGAACTCCGGCCTTGGAGTCAGGAGGACCTGAATTCAAATTTGGCCTCAGACACTTGATATTTACTAGCTGTATGACCCTGGGCAAATCAGTTAACCCCTGATTGCCTCACCAAAAAGCAAAAAAAGAAAAAAAAAAGAAAGAAATGATGTGTGATAAGTATAGATAAGGATGGAAAGATCTATATGAACTGATGCAGAGTGTAGTAAACGAGCCAAGAAAACAATATACACAAAAACTACAACAATGTAAATGGAAAGCTCAACTGCAAACTAAAAAATCAAAAGTGAAAATAAAATTATAAAGGACTTGAATGAAACAAGACTTGAATGAAGAAATATGAAAGGATACTCCCAACCTACCCCTTCATGGAGGTGTTTGGGTTGGCTTTTTTTTTTAACTTTTTTAATGTATCAATCAGTTGTGTTATTTTTTTTCTTCTCTAAAAATTACTATTTGTTATATGGGATGACTTTCTGGGTAGGGGACGGATACTTGGAATAATAATTGGTGATGTAAGAAAGAGAAGACATCAACAAAAATTTATTTTAAAAAAGAACCATTTAAAAAAAAATTCCATTTAGTTTATATTTGTATTCTGGTTGTGTTTTGTCCCAACTCAGGACTGCCTGTCCAAGAAAAGTCCAAATGTGTTGAGTGAGCATTCTGGCCTTGGCAATAGAATGGAGAGGGTGTTGTCACTAATTAACCAATCAGCACCTTTCAGAAAATCATGAGATAAATCTGAGAGATTGTAACATCTTACTATTATTGCATTAGTATTATTGATTTCTAACAGTGCCTGGATGGTGTTCAAACTTTTAAAAACTACTAATAATTTTAATGGATTATGTTTTTAGAAATGGTCTTAATATTACAGGTCTTTTGAACTGCAAGATAGAATATACCTCTCTGGTTGGTCACTATAACCTATGGTCTTGGAATAGTTCATCCAGTACCCCACTAATTACCACTTTCATAGAGCCTTTTATAATTTAGCACTGTCAAACTTCTGAAACTTTTTTCCAACAGGAACAACAACAACAAAAAAAAAAAACAGAGGAGCCTTAGAAATAATCTTGTCCAATTCTTTATTTTACATATAAGGAAGCCAAAGCCTAGAGAAATAAAGTGACTTGTATGATTGCCCTATTCATAGCAGAGCCAAGATTTAAATCCAGTGTTCTTGCCATTATGTCACCGTGTCAAAAGGCTTTTTAAAATAAAGTATAAAGGATAGAAACATCGCTAAATTATATTAAAATAAGATTTCATTATTCTTTTACATAGGGTTCAGACTTAAGCGTAGTACTCTGCAGGGCACGAAAAAGACATTTGTTAACGTTAGCTCTTGCTGATGGTGTTCATCCTTTGAGAAGTTTACAAATTAACAGGTTAACAGTATCAGGATTTTCTCTTCTTGGTCAACTATGTAAATGACTGCCAAATTTATCTTAAAATGTAGGGATTCTTTAAATTTTTGTAACTCTTCAAAACGTACTAACATAGTTTGCTTTTTTATAGCTTTTTTTTTTTAATTAATTCTGAATCCCCAGAATTCTTACCAAAAATGCAAAAACAGAACGTTGTATTAATTGAAAGTTTATTGGCCAAAACACTTGTTTTCCAACCTTTGTTCCAACTAGTTATAAATATTTGTCTTCAACTATTTTGGGGAAAAAACACAATAATACCTTAAGGATATAATGAATACCTCTGTGTAGTGAAAGCTATATACTTAGTAAGCTTTCAGAATTTAATTTAAAGTCTATTTGATCATCTCCATTACAGTCAAGCAGTGCTGGTAGACCAAACCATGTACATCTCAGGACAGTTAGGCGTGGATCCTTCAAGTGGACAGCTTGTGTCAGGAGGGGTGGTAGAGGAGGCAAAACAGGTAAGTTATTTTTTTCCATTTGATTTTTCTTTTCCTTTTTAATACTGAACAGTTCCAAATCAGTCTCAGAGATATACTTGTAGATGTTTTAGAAATATCCTCAGCTAATATTGGCTCAGTTCTTCCACTAAAGCTCATGCCTGGAAAGTGATGCTGAGTTCTCAGTGCTATGCCAGAAGAGCCCGAGTTGTGGCCAGTCCAGGCTGGAAAGGCTTTGAGAGATGGACTGGATGTCGATCCAAAAACCAGCCTGTCTAGATTCAGAGCAGCATACCATCAAAGGAATGACTGAAGGCCTAGTGAAAATTTACCAAGTACGAGAGAGTGGTTCAGTACCAGACTCTAATAAGGAGTCAGGCACCTAACAAGACGTAAAAGGATGTTGCTTCTCATTGGTTTGCAGCAGACGATTAAATGGGACACCAATAAGGTGGGCTGGAAAGAGTCTGGAGTTCAGACTAAATATTTCTATCATGTAAAGTCCTTGAATGGCAGGTTAGTAAAAGATGATGGATTTAAGTTAATGATAACTTTTCTGCATAGTATCAATACCTTAAGCCTTTCTGCTCCTTGTCTTACAGGTACTCATAAACATAGGAGAAATTCTGAAAGCTGGTGGCTGTGATTACGTTAATGGTGAGTTAATTGATATTACTTTGTAAGTGTGGAAGAGCGATTACCCTTGTGGCTTGAGACTGAATCACTATTGAGAGATCCAGTTTTAGACTTTCCTGATTTAGGTCCGCCACCTTGGGGATTCCAGCTCATCTTGGTATTGATCTAGGAGCTTCTTAAACCATGAGTCCCGAGTACATGGGGTTGCAACCCACAGTTTAAGAAATGCTGAAAGGGGCCAGAATGAAAAAAGTATGAAAAGTCCTGAATTCTAAAGGACCTTTATAGCTCAAGGGCTTTTACTTTCTTCCTTTTAAAGTATCACTAATCCTATATTCTGAATCCCAGAAAAGGAACTAGAGCTGTAAGCTGAGCTTTCTTGGTTCTCTGGGTTCAAAGTCTTGTACCACTTAGTCCTTAGTTGTGTTTCCCCTCTTTTTCTGCTTATTTCAGATATAAACTCCCTCCTTCCCTTCTATTCCAAATACCATTAACTACAGATGACAAGAATATGTTTCTAGAGTCTGTTTACAGTGAATATACAAATTTAACATTAAAACAGCAGGGTGGGAGGCAGCTAGGTGGCGCAGTGGATAGAGCACCAACCCTGGAATCAGGAGGTCCTGAGTTCAAATGTGGCCTCAGACACATAACACTTTCTAGCTGTGTGACCCTGGGTAAGTCACTTAACCCCAATTGCCTCACCAAACAAAAACAACAAAAAAACAAACACAAACTAAAACACTAGAGTGAGGTAATTAAAAGTGAATATTAATGACACCTAGTCTCACACTAGATGTTATGTGAACTTTCTAAGCTGTTCTCTCAAGCTACAGTTTCCCAAGCCAATGATCCTCTGCATCGTGTCTGCCTCACTTGGATACTCCTTCTTTCATGCTAACTTAGAGTGCTCTGGATCAAACTTATTGGATCATTCTGCAATTCCCAGCTCAGATAATCAGAAAACCTCCTGATTTCATGATGGACCCAAGTGTGTTCCAGACATAGTCTTAATTAGCTGCCATTCCCTCCTACCTAAAAGCAAGGAAATAAAAGAAAGGTAATGAATGACATGGTTCTCTCCAAATTGTAATACAGTACCACCCTGAAAGTATACAATAATAAACTCATGTGTTAAAAGAATTTCCTAACAATTAGAGAGGTCCAAAAAAGGGAATGGGCTGCCTCACAAGGTGCTGAGTTCCTTGTCACTTAAAGTTTCAACCAGGTGTTGTCATTGGACCTTTCTTTTTCTTTGAGCTGATCTCTAGCATGCAGTATAAATTCACTTATTAAAATCATTTTTCAGGGGCAACTAGGCAGCACAGTGGATAGAGCACTGGCCTTGAAGTCAGGAAGACCTGAGTTCAAATCCAGCCTCAGACACATGATAACTAACTAGCTTTGCGACCCTGGGCAAGTCACTTAACCCCATTTGCCTTGCCCCCCCCCCCAAAAAAAATCATTTTTCTCTCTATGAAATAGTAATGTTACTTTTTAATATATAGGAAATCTTACTCTTTCTAACATAAGTTTTGGATCAGGCTAAATATCTTATAATAACAAATATGTCTTCTAGTGGTAAAGACAACTGTTTTGCTGGCTGACATAAATGACTTCAGTGCTGTTAATGATATCTACAAGCAGTGTAAGTAACTTGTTTCTCTTTTATGTGTAGTGTAGTATAGTAATGGATCATGTTTAATTATTAACACTTATTGACTAATATGTATTTAGCACAGATAATATATGGTCTCCAAAAAACAATCAGGAGACTACTAATAACTACCAATACCAAACTATTGTCTATTTCATCTTTATGAAGTCTTTATAAGAATGATCTACACATGTATCAAGGGCAGCCTTGATGAAAATATAAGAAGGGAACATGCATGTTAACCCCATTGCCTACCAAAAAAAACAACATACAACCTGCTACGATTATTGATTACATAAACACAAATACAGTTGACTTGGTAGAAAAAATACAGTCTTAAAGTTTCTGTAACAAGGAGTATCTCATGGATATGTTAAGATATTTAAGATTCTATTGTAAATGTAACCTCAACTTACTAGCTGTGTGACCCTAGGCAAGTCACTTAACCCCAAATACCTAACCAAAAGCAAAAAAAAAAAAAGAGTGAATGTAACCTCAGAGATAACTATCTTTAGTAATCCTCTGATTATTAACATCAAGCAAGTCATAAAGCAGGCAGATGTATCCTCCTCAAATGGGCACAAGGACCTATGCAGAAGAGGATTTCCGTATAGATGGTTGAGGTCCTACAGATGACAGTCTTTGCAGATGCTGACTGCATTAAATCCTATACATTACAGGGATTCCTCACTGTGATTCCTAATTATTCAAAAGACATCAGTCTAGCAATTCATATAGGAAAAACTAAATTAATGAAGAATGCCTATGAAATGCATTGGATAGCTAATCCATTGAATTAGTAAAGCACATACACTGGAGATGGACATGGCATATGCAAAATAAGTTGGATGCAGAATTAACTATGAGGAAGGAAGTGTGCAGTTTTATATTTGGAGAAATTATGGCACTACTTTTAATGATCCCAAGCTACTTTACAGTACCAAAAAAATCTTTTAAAATCCAAATGTTTTCCTGAAGAAGCTATATGATTGTCAATCTTGAAATACTACAATCTCTACAGAATCAAAGTTGTAGTGATCTAAAAGGCACTGGAGAGAGGCATGGTGAGTACAAATCAACTATAGCCAGTTTGTAGTGATGACCCAAGAAGTGATGTAAGGGTCGTATTATCAAGGAAATGTGTACTTGGAAATGGGGGTGAGTAGTCATTGACAAGAGCAAGGGGTAACATAATCAGAGTGTAATACAGCATCCCATGAAATACAAAAAGACCTAGAGAAAGACCTCCAGCATATTTGATGGATCCTCTGTGGAAGATCTGCAGGGGAAACAGAAAGGATCAGAAGGCATAAACAGGTTACCACCTGCACCAGTGGAACCTCTAGTAAATGAGATCAGAAATGCACTGAAAATATTAAAGAATTTAATAGTAAGCTAGATGTGCTTAAGAGCAAGAGGGAAGGGTGGAATATCATAGAAAGAGTAGACTTGGTCCCAAGCCTCACAAAGTTTACAGTCTAGTTTGGGAGAAAAATTCTACAATGTTACATAACATGAAAAAGGACTTTATATAAACTTTATTCTCCCCCAAAATCTTAATTCTTTTAATTCTCATTTTAATTCATCTGAATACACCTAATGAAGTTAATTCCTTTTGGATGAGAATTATTTCAATGCTTTAGGTACCCAAAAAAGCCTTGCAATTGCCTCTAGCGTATGTCTCCAAATTTGTATTGGAGAAATGATTATATATATTGAGGTATCCTTGATATTAGAAGGAAGGAAACAAGCCTTTAAGTGCTTTCTATGTGCCATAGACTGTATTAAGCACTGGAGATATAAATACAAGCCAAAAAAAGAAAAAAAAGGAAAGAAAATCCCTGTCCTTAAGAAGCTTACATTGTAATGGAGGATACAGTAGTCAATAAGACTTACTGAGTTTGCAGTTGTAGGAGACACGTCCTAAGGATGGATCTGGAACTCAGAAGAGTGGTCAAGATTAGACATATAGATTTAGGAGTTATCTGCATAGAGGTACTGAGTGAATGAGATTGATAATACAAAGCTTTCAGAGAAAGAAAGCCAAGGTTCTCTTGGAGAACATCCACTTTAAAGGTTGACCAGAGAATGAGAAGTGAGCAAGAGAGAGAAGTGGTTATGGTTAGAGAAGAAGGAAGTGAAGCAGAGGAATAATGTTGCTGAAGCTAAATGAGAAAAGAATAGCCAGAGGGAAGGAGTAGTTGACAGTGCCCCATGCTCCAGAGAGGTCAAAAGATGAGCACTTAAAAAAAGGCCATTATAAATAATTGTAAATTATTAATTCATTTATCGCTTTGAAAGAGCAGTTTCAATAGTGGAGGCAGCAGAAATGAAATGGCAGGGATTTGAGGAAAAAGTGAATATTGAAGAAATAAAAGCATTCTATATGGATAACTGTTTCAATAAAATTGTTAGAGAAGGAAATGCAAGAGGCAGGATTAGTAGCTGGATAACATAGAAGAGTCAACCAGAGGTGTTTTGGGGTTGGAAGACCTAAGCATACTAGTAAAGCTTGTGGGAAGGAGCCAATGAAGGTGCATGAGAAGTAGGAACTGAGTACAGTGCTAGAGAAGTGAGGGGGGAATAGGGTCAAGGGGACAGGCAGAAGGATTAGCCCCACCACCAAAAGGAAATAGCTCCCATCTGGGTCAAGATGAGAGGAGAAAGTGAATGATGCCAAGAGAACTGGAAGAAAAGAGCAATGGGGCTACTTCAGTCTTCTCAGCAGAGCAGGAAGCTTCATCATCTTTGTGACAGGGTTTGAGGTGTGGCTCATGAGATGAGGAAAGAGAGGTTTGGAACATTGGCTGGGAAGAAAGAGTTATGCAGAGGTGGTATAGCATGGAGTGCTTGATTTGAAATAAGACCACCTGAATTGGAGTCCGATTTCAGATTCTTAATAGCTCTGTGACCATGAACTAATCACATCTGAGCTTCAGTTTCCTCATCTCTAAAGAAGAAATCTAATAATAAATAATATAATAAAGAAGAAATAATAATACTTCTACTACCTCTCTACAAGGCTGCTGTGAAGTAAGTACTTTGGAAACCTTAAAGCACTATGCAAACCTTCAAGTGCTATATAAATATTAGGTGGTGAAATAGATAGAGCTCTAGATTTGGAGATGGGAAAACAATCCAGTCTCAGACACTTACTGTGTGAACCTGGTCAAGTTACTTAATCTCTTTCTGCCTCAGTTTCCTTATGTGTAGAATAGGGATAAAAAGAGTACCTACCTCATAGGGGTGATCAAATGAGATATCACACTTTGCAAACCTTAAAATGCTACCTAAATGCTAACTATTATTATAAATATCAGCTGTCATTGTTAGTAAGAATTGTTAAACAAGGCCAGCTGGATTTATGAATTTTAGTGGATGAAGTTAGCCCAGGTTCTAGCACTGTTTAGCACCTCAAAAGGGAAACAGAGAACGTTGATGATAGGAGTTGCAAAGGGATTAGGATTAGCAGATTAGGAACAACGTAAAGTCAAGAGATTATTGGGTGGTGACTAGTGAAACATTAAAAGTTGTAAATCATAGGGTAAAGGCAAGTGAAGCCAGAGTACAGATAGGTTAGAAAAATAGGGAGAAGTCAAGGGATCAAAGCTCATTACAAAAGCAAAGGTTAGGTTTAGAGGGAGAAAGCTGTTTAAAAAAAAAAACAGCTTAGGTACTCACGTTTAGAGAGTAGTATTTCAAAGTTAAGCATTTTGGAAGTGATGTGTGGTTCCACGAGTCATTACCATACTCCTCTGTAGCTGAAGTGGGGTAGAAAAGTAAGGCATTGGAGTTAAAGTTGAAGAAACTGGGAGGTCAAGGTGTTACTTTTAAACTTTATGCCTTTTATTACAATTACTTGGGTACAGCTCTTATCTCCCCTTATTAAACTATAAACTAATTAGGCAAAAGAACAATGCCTAATTGATCATTGGATCCCAGAGTATCCAGCACAATGTCTTGCACATAGTAAGGATTCAAGACCTTTTTTGGGGGGGTGGATGAATGTCAAACTCAAAGTTCAGTTTCATTAAAAAAAAATACAAAATCCTAGGGTTCAAAAGACAAAAACATCTTTTATCTTTTTATCAGGATGTTGAAACATTTAGAGTAGAAAAATATTGAATCACAGTAATCATTATACAAAGTATTTTGTATAATAGAGTTCTATATCTGAAAAGCAATCTTGCTTTTCTTGTGATATAAGATTCTTGATATTTAACTGTTTAAAAAATATATGTCCTGGAGATGTTTTCTATAATTGTTTTTAATCCAGATTTCAAGAGTAGTTTTCCAGCCAGAGCTGCTTACCAGGTTGCTGCTTTGCCCAAAGTAAGTTATTTAACATGACACATTATTTGAAATATTAATTTCTACATAATATTCTGAACATTCACCAGCTTACTGGATAATATAAAAGGAAAAGGCAATTCATGCCCTTTGTGGGAATGTATTACCCAGTTGAAGATATATAACATACATAGGAAGGGAGAAAGATTGGCCTTGATTTCAAGGATATAGGGAACTCTTGGGTGAGTAAAATCCCCATACCATGGCATTTTAGCATCTTCTCTGCAACTTAAGTCTTAGAGAGTTGTTGAGTCATTTGTATATTCCCATTATTCTCATATTCTCTGAACCAGCAGTTCTCAGAGCATGGTCCAGGGAAGCCTTTCAGGGGGTTTCTGAGGTCAAGATTAAGACATTATCATTTCTAGTATGGCAAATATCAATAGATATAACCACAAAAAAAAAGTTCTTTTGGAGCAGGGGCCCTCAATTTTTAAGAATGTAAAGGAGTCTTTAAACCAAAAAGGTTGAAAACTGCTACACCTCATTCCCTATCCTTATATGAATGATAACACATATCTCAGGTTGGTTGTGAAGATCACATGAGATATTTGATACTTAAAAGTGTTATTTTCATTTTCATAAGGTATTGCCTAATTAATAACACAGCTGGCACTAGATTGAGGGCCAGAATAACCACTAAAAAGGTGAACTATGTTTGGATAAAAGTGCCATAACAAATATAATATATTCAATCTCACTCCTAAGAGTTTTCATCTTCTTATGTGTCTTTGATTTTTAGAGTATATTTTATCTAACACCTATCAGACTGGATGTATTTTACATTGTTCTGTCCTTGTTCATTTGGTTGTTCTTTCTTCTGTACCTAGAACCACAATATTCATTTCCTTACAAGGATGCTCTCCTCACTGAGTTTACTTAAAACCATCTACAGCTTAACATTTATTTTTTATTCATAGTTATACTGCTTTCCTTTTTGGCATATTAAATGCCATTCAACTTGAAACAGAGAATACTGAAATAATGTTCATTTTATTTTTTTTTAAGAATATGAACCCTATTTGTACATAATCACCTATAAGTTGTTTCATTATCTTTCCCACAGGGAGCTCGTGTTGAAATTGAAGCCATAGCTGTTACAGGACTTCCCACGAAATTATGACTATAAATCATGCCCTCCACTGTTTTTCGAGTTACATTTGGTTTAGGATAAATGATTGTTAATTTACTTCTAATTCTTGAAATTAATGTTGGAAATCATAAGCCTTAATGAAATGATGTGGAGGACCTTCTATTATAGAAATAGCATAATAGGTGAACATGAATGTGAACTAAAGGATTTGATGGAGAATACAATTATAATGCAACATTGATAATGCATACAGCCACACTACCTGAAAGCAAAAAAATTACAGTATCTCTCTACAAAAATAAAAGCAAAGAGTAGCAGGAAATGCAGGAAAAAGATTTCCCCCGGGAATTGTGGATTGTTTTATATCTGAGAGGGAGAAAATAACATTTATGGAATTAAATTCTAAATTCATGATCTGAGAAATATTTGACTGATGTTCTAATTTTGTTAGCAAAATTAACCAAAAAATCATTTTATACATTCTTTCAATTAGTTGCATGTAATGCCAAGGATTTAAAGGTGGCAAATCCCTCAAAAAACTATCAACTTCTTTTTAAAGAATTTCCACTGTTGGTCTAATTAAAATTCCAGGGAATGTGGCAAAAGTTAATGAAAAGAAAAAAAAGTTAAAAAGAAAGAAGTTAATGGACCAAAAATTTCTAAATGACAAAACCTATTTTTTCTAATGGAAATAAAATGACAATATGCACATTTGCTATGTTGTAACATTCATTTTAGAAACATCATTATTACGAAAGGTTCACCCAACAAAATTTTGGTATTAAAGGCTTGCATAAGGTTTCTTCATCATCAGTACTATTTACCAAATATGTGTAGTGACATTGTGCCAATGATTTAAAAAGCCGGGAGTGGTTCTTTCCATAGAGATAATGAAAGCTATCAAGATGAATAGAGGGCAGATAATTTAGGAATTGGCAGAGAATGAGACATTTTCAAGGAGTGCAGGATTTGGGCTGAGGACCTGTGAGCTGCAAGGAACCTTCCTGTTCACTGAGTCCACCAGTTGAAACTAAGATCTAGAGAGAAGCAGTGACTTGCCTAATTTCACAGAAGTGGCAGAGCTAGCATTGGAATCGAGTCCTTACACTCCAAATCCAGCACTCTATACTATGCCACACTGTCTCAATTACTATAATGCACTTTAGTAGTAATAATAACAACAGCTAAAATTGATATGTTGTTTACCATGTGCCAGGCACTGTGCTAAGCACTTCACAAATGGTATCACTTGATCCTCACAACAACTCTGAGAGGTAGGTGCTGTTATTATCCCCATTTACAGATAAGGAAACTGAGGCAAGCAGGTTAAAGTGTTTTAAATCTATTACTGGATTTAAACTAAAGTCTTCCTGACTCTAGGCCCCATGCTTTATTCACTGTACCACCTAACTCAGGAGTTATGCATCATTAACAAGCATTTATTAAACACTATGTTCCAGGTACTGGGCAAAGCACTATAGATACAAAGAATGACAAAAACATGGTCCCTGCCCTCAAAGAGCTCACATTCTAATGGAGATGACATGCAAACCACTTTGTTACAAGACTTTTATTTACTTTTCAGTCATTTCTGACTCTTCATGACCCCATTTGGGGTTTTCTTGGCAGAGATACTAGAGTGGTTTGCCATTTCCTTCTCTAACTCTTTTTACAGATAAGGAAACTGAGGCAAACAGAGTTAAGTGACTTGTCCAGGGTCACACAGCTAGTACAGTCGGAAGCCAGATTTGAACTTGGGGAGATGAATCTTTCTAGCTGCCCACAAGACACATGTGGCATAGTCTAAATGTAGGGGCAATCTCAGAAAGCAGATACTTATTGGAGAGAAGGATGGGGCAAAACAGGAAAAGCCTCTTACGGAAGGGGGATTTAGGTTAAGTCCAGGGAAGCCAAGAGGCAGTGGGGAGAAGGAAGAGCATTCCAGGCATGGGGACAGCCAGTGAAAGGCAGGAAGCTGAGATACGGTATGTTATATGGGAAGAACAGCCACAAAGCCAGTGTAATAGAATAGTAAACCACATGGAGGGAGTAAAGTATGAGCCTGCAAAAGCAGGAAGGGGACTGCTTCTGAAGGCTCTTAAAAAAGAGTTTGGTTATTGAATTATAGGTTTTACTAGCCCTTTCACTGAGTTTCCCAAGTGTGCTATGTGATCCTCACCTCTGGTGATATCATCACAGCCTACTAGCATGATTTAAGCTATTTGCTTACAGAACTTTAAGTAACTCCAAAAATCCGTGATCTTAGTTCTAAGGGAGAGGTGTCAAACTTACAAAACTCCAGAATGTTGCCTAAACCAGATAAAAATGTGTTTGGGAAGTGTTTCACAAATAAGTAAAAGTACAATACAATGCAGATAATGTGCAGTTTTTAAAGTCAATATGTAAACACCAGGAATCAATTTCTATTTGCATTTGACACCACTGGTCTAAAGGGTACTTCTATCTCTGCCTCTTGGCTATATGTGATTCCCTAGGATCAACCATTTCTCCCAGTCTAACGTGTGCAAGCATTTGCTATTTCCCTGTGGAAAACTAGAATTAAAGATTTCCAACGGAAAATCACATAACCAAGAACTGTGTCTAAAATCAAATAGGCTGTCAGCCTTAGAAGGGAGTCATTCTTGTCTGAAAGACCTATGTCACTGTTGGATAAGGAGGATGATTTTTTTTTTCTGTTTGAGACTTGTGACTATGATCAATGTAGGGAACTCCTGGAGTATAAACTCTCTGTTGATAGAGTATCTGTTAACACTGGCTGACACTGACAGAATCACATAGAAAGCCAATCACTCTACTGATGACATATTTTCAGGAGTGCTAAAAAACCTCCTACCCAAAATACCTTTTATAGGGGCCTGTTCCATCAGAAGATTCACTCATTTTGGTTAAAGCATTGCTCCTATTAAAAATGTACAGTTTAAATTAAGCTCTACAGCAATCTAAGCCCAGTTTAAAAGATGCCAAAATTCAGCACTGGGCCATAAGCTCAGATTTTCTTGTCAGTTCTCAAAGCCCTACCTTAGAATCCGTACCTTGTCTTTAGCCCCAGGCATTTCACCATGTAAAATTTCCTCTATCACTCAATTCCAATGATCAATGCATTCCAATTTAAGGCCTCCCGGGGTCCCTAAACCAGGTTGGCTCCTTAGGTTGAAAGATCCTAATTATCTGATCACCATCTTTTTCCTGTCCACTCATTGCCTCTATACTTCCAGGCCACAGAATGCTTTTCCTAGGGCTTATTTACAGGTGAAGAGAATGAATATATATATATATATATATATATATATACACACACACAGACACATACACATACATATACAAATGTGTAAATAATATAACAAAGTAGTTAGGATTGTGTCCAAATGCAACCTATTCCCAGCCTAAAAAGTTGGCAATGTTCCTACTCTATACATATACAAGTTTCTGTAGGTCAACTCTGGCCATCTTGATTCCTCTGCTATGTATTCTCCACTCCTGGTCCCAGGAAAAAGTGTCTGCTTTTCAGACACTCTCAAACCAAATTTGGGATTGCTCCAGAAGTATTTCTGGACTAGTTCTCCTTTCCATTCTTCCAATTCCACAGTCATCATAAGCCAGTTGGAATCCTGACATCAATCGAACCTCAAGCTGCAATTCCATGACCCCACCCTCATTTCCCCCTTCTTTAAATCCCACCCCTCTTAAAATCTGTCTCATACAATCTAATAGTTGGATTATATATTATCTCCCACTGTTTTCTAATTTATGTGCATGTTAGAAAATTTTCCCAGAAAGTAGAAAACACAAATAGGTAAAATAAAACACTTCCCATCTCTCTAACCGTCAGAATTCAAAATTATATATATGTATATATTATACATATATATCCATAAGGATTAGTTTATGAGGATTCTAGGGATAGCATGAGGTCACAGGGCATATGAGAGGAGGAGGGGAGAAAGCCCAAGACAAATACTGTCCTTAACAATTTTGTGTAGGATCAATCCTATAGATGACATAACAGGCAACTGCATGACATAGATAAGATAAACCAATAGGTAGAGTGGATAGGATGCTGGACCTAGGGTCAGGAAGACTCATCTTCCTGAATTCAAATCTGGCCTCAGATATTTACTGGTTGTGTGACCCTGAGCAAGTCATTTTAACCCTGTTTGCCTCAGTTGCCTCATCTATAAAATGAGCTAGAGAAGGAAATGGCAAACCAGTCCAGTATCTTTGTCAAGAAAACCAGGAAGAGTCAGACACAATTGAAAAATGACTAAATACAAATAGCATGAAATATTTAACTGTATACAAGTTTGGTTACATAATGAATTTCCTACATCAGCTGCCCAAAAGACCAGAGTTCAAATTCTAACTCTGCCACTTTCTTAGGTAAATGCTTTACCTCTCTGGGTCTCCCTTTCCTCCTCAGTAAAATGAAAGTTGTGTCCCTTCTAGTTCTAAATCTGTGATCCCATGAACTCCTAGCCTTTGCTCTTGGCAGGCTGAGGTTGAAGAATGAACTATTTCAAACTACAGGACCTTAAAAGAATCATCTAATCCAACTCTTACCTTAAAAGATGAGGAAATAGAGGCCCAGAGACACTAAGGGATTTGCCCAAAATCAAAGACAGTAATCAAGGAAGCTAGGATTATAAACCCATATCCTCTGCCTCCAAATCCAGTGCTTCTCCCACCATGCCAAGCTGACTCAGCTCAGGAAGACCTGCAATGGAATTCAGGATGCTAAGTGACCCTGGATGAGTCCCTGAACTTGCCAGCCTCAAATTCCTCATCTGTCACAGCAGACATAATCAGGACATCTACAATACATAGCACCAACAATAACCGTAGGCATTATTAGGACCAAGTAAGCAGTGGATAAAAAGCATTTTGTGATGTTTAAAGCATGACAGTCATTATTATTGTTAATCTCTGTAGCATTTGCTACTTTGGGTGATGGGCCGTTGAGAGGGGGCGGGTGGGATAGGTGTAACTCTCCTGCTCTGACTCCTTGGCTAAAAATTATTTGGGCTGTCGTTCATTAGTTCAGCCCTTGACCCTGAACATCATTAACTCAGTCCAGTGCTCGTCCAGGGCTAGTGGGCAAGAGAGGGAAGGAACCCAAGGGGGCGGGGAAGACAGCTGGCGCATGCCCAGTGCGTCCAAACAACTTTCTCCTAACCCTTCAGGAGCGGTTACTTCACACACCAGTCTGTTAAATAGCCCTTGTTGAACAACCAGTACATACACAACGACATATTAGGCAGGAAATGAAGTACTTCCATCTGAATGTGCGAGCAGGAGCTGGGAAGACACGAGTAACAGACCCACTGGCTAAATGGCTCGGCTCCGCCACCGCCGCCTCGCCAAAGCAACACAGCCCCGAGGCAGTGCGCATGTGTAAACTGAACGAACTGAGACTATAATTCCCAAAATGCTGTGCGAAACACTCTCCCAGTGCATGTGCCTTAACAAAGTCCGCTGCCTTTCCTGACCCGGGCCAGAACGTAGACACGTAGAATTAAAGAGAGGCAATTAAAAATACAAATTGTCATGACTTCCTTTATGAAAGAAGTACTCAGCACAGAAAAGGCACCACAAGCCCTCGGCCCCTACAGGTAATAATAATAATAATGCATTCGCTAATAATAATAATAATGCATTTGCTTATGAATAATAATGCATTAGCTTAGGAACAATAATCAGTGCTTTTGATTAGTTTACGTGTTAAGGGTTAGGTCAGATGTAGGCCTTTAATTATGCTGACGAGATGAGTCCCTGAGAACGTAGACTGCACTGGCAAGTAAAATCAATTAACTTTCTTTTTGATTTTTAATAACCAACTCCTGCACCAATTCCAAGTAGCATGGCTAGTTCTGCAAAGGAAGCTAAGAACTTCTGTTTAAATGAGGACAAGAAAACATTTACCTTACTTAATAAAAAACGGAATTCGTTTTTATAACCTTCACATCGTTTCTTGTCTTTGATTTTTTTTTTTTTTTGAGTCTGAAGTTTGTTCTTCAGAAGCAAAGGAAATGCCAGCAAATTACTTTCATAAAGCCAGGTCCACCTAGCCAGTAGAATGGAAGCTTCTCAGGATTGGGACTCTTTTTCCTTATGTCTTTTTATCACCTAGCACAGGGCTTTGTATATGATAGGTGCTTAATAAATGCTGATTAGGTTGGATTGGGTATCATCTTCCCCATTTTGCAGAGAATAATTTTCTTCTGCACTGGAGTAGTTTTAAGTTCTAAGGGAAATAATTGACAATTAAGTGAAGGTAATTTATTGTAGGTGGATCCAAGTTTCTAAAGATTAAGAAATACACAAATAGAGAGAGGTGTCTGGAGTGGAATAACCAGAACAAGTGGAAATCTCTTGTATTAAATAGACATAATGTGCAACTTAACACTGCCATTGGCTATAGAGTTGAAAGGAAAATGTGAACATAGATATGCAATAGTTAGAGGCAGAGCATGGGTGTTGAGTCAGAAGACTTGAGCCCTGGCACTGATGCTTTCTAGCTCAGTGATTGGGCAAGTCCCTTAATTATTTTGAATCTCAATTTTCTTTAAATGTGGAGACTGATTATAATGATCATCATCATTATTTCTATGAATATTATTTTGTTATTGCTGTTGGAGTCATAGTTTATACTGCTCTCCTTGTTGATGGGCTCACTTCTTTGTACCACAGGTTGTTTTTTTGTTTTGTTTTGTTTTCTTTAATATTTTGTGAATACCATTGTGTTCTTTCTCTGGCTTACCTCCTGTTTGAAATAGAAATGGGGTGACTAAACTGTACAAAAAGATCCCCTGTAGGCTGTATATTGACTTAGAAAACCACATATTAACATTGTCTATGGTTTATTATATTTTAATTCATTTCGTTAAATGTTTCCTGATTACATTTTAATTTGGTTTGGCTTCATTCAGAAGGTTGTGGGCAGTGTTTCCCTCTGCTTTAAGTGATTAAGTTACATAAATGAAGCTTATTACTACTCTTATTTCTATTTAGAAGTAACAAGGAAACTGATGAAATCACAAGACTGTTTAGGAAAAAAAACCTCATCAGATATTTTACCTGAATATCACTGACCATTGCCAAGGTTAGGGGTCAGGGCCATTTGGGGGCCAATATGTTAACTTTTCCTGTTGCAAACACATTTTCTGTACACTCAGCACTTTTGTCCAAAAGTTCTTGCCAGCTAGACATTGGACTGAACCTTCTACTTTCCAAGCCATTTCCCTCATCTCACTGCTAGGGACAATTTCCCCCAATCCCTTTCCAAACTGGCTGCACTAGGGAAGAAGGTACGGGAGGTGTCCATCACTCATTTGTGCATTCATCTATGTATAGCCAGCTAGCTATTCAGGGACTGATAGTACTCTGAGGAGCAGTCCCAGCCCTGCCGATAAACTTGTTAGAAGTGTGACTAGCATTCTTAGCATTCTGTTTTGTTGGTATTTGTAGTCAGCGTTTAGAATCATGCTGATGAAATTCAAACCAAGAAGAATCTAAATTCAGTTGAACTTTCATACCGAGTAATGAAATGCAGCTAGGTGGTGAAGAGGGCTGAGCCAGGCATCAGGAAGACCTGAATTCAAATCCAGCCTCAGACACATAACACTAATCGTGTGACCCTGGGCAAAGTCACTTAACCCTGATTGCCTCACCAAAAAGAAAAACAAAAAACAAAAGGGGGCCTCAGAAGCTCAGTGTCTGTGTAACCCTAGACAAGTAATTTAACCCCATTCTTCTCAATTTCTTCATCTGTAAAATGAGCTGGACAAGGAAATGGCAAACTGTGAAATTGATTATTGATAACTGATTAATTAATTGTTAAGAGTTTTTAGTTAATATCTGTAACTGATATGTATGGATCAGTGTAGACCTTAGTAGTAGAGTTTGTGAGAGCTTACATACCCAAATCTTAAGGGCTACAAGCTGGTTCGGTCTCGAGAGAGATAAGGAAGATGAATGGTGAATAAATCAACCTGGTCAGGAGTTGTTTTGCCCAGCACTTGGTCTCTCTGATATTGTGGTATTTGGCACAGGACTTTCCAGAGGATGTTACTCAACTGTGTGTTTTTCCTGTTGCTATATGCTCTAAAGACCACCTTTGCCAGTCAATGTGCTATATAGCCCACCCTTCAGCTTTCTTATACACCAATCACAGTCTTAGTTTAGTTTGCATCCTTGGAACTTATGTAATCACCAAACTGCATAAAAAGCTGCTCCAATTGTAAGGTGTGTCTCTGGCCTCCAAGGGTCCATTGACCTCCATTATTGACAACTGCTAACCTTGCTAATAAATAGATTATACTCAGACCTCTGTGCCTCAGATTCTCTTCATAACAGATTTTTATCTGACAAAACCTCTCCAATATATTTGCCAAGAAAACTGGAATGGGATCACTTGTAGTCAGACACAGCATCAACAATGAAATGAAGGGACTGCTTTTTACTAATCAACCAGTTAGCACTGTGTTAGAAGTGCTGTGGGACTGGGTCTTTCTATACACTTCCTCCTGTAAGTAACAATCCTTGTTTATGAAAAGAAATGCTAAAACTTTTAAAATATTTCAACAAATATTTATTAAGCACCTATTGTATACACAGCATTCATTCTTTTTTTAATGACACAAAATGATTTATTACATTCCAACAGATAGGAAATGATTGCTTACTAAGGTCATTCTTTCTGAATAAGCTACAGAAAAAGCTTGACTATGTACAAAAACATCGTTAAACCAGTAACTTGTTAGGTTAAATGTGAAAATCAGTATCAAATTAAAAGAAAGCATCCAAATGAGTAGATGAGGGAGTGAAGTGACTACACTCTGGTGTATTTAAACCACATATTGACAGTGAAAAATAGGAATGGATAAAGGAATACACATTTTCTAAAACAGTTTAACCAACGTAAATAATTTGCCCCAAAGATTAAAGAATCCTTGAAAGTCTCAACTAGAAAGCATTAGACATCTTCGCTAAGTAGAGAGACATAGAGCCAAGGGCTACATCAATTTAGAAAATAAATTCACTTTGAAAAACTTATAAAGGAAATTTTAAAATATTTTTCTCCAGTGTTTTTTACATTTTTTAAATTTTTCATTAATTTATTTATTTTTAGTTTTCAACAATCACTTCCATAAGCTTTTGAGTTTTAAATTTTCTCCCCCTTCCTCCCCACCTTACTCCCCAAGTGTGCAATCTGATATAGACTATACATATATATAATATATGTATATTCCTATTAAACATATTTTCACATTAGTCATGTTACAAAGAAGAATTAGAACCAATAGGAGGATCCACAAAAAAGAAGAAACAAAACAAAACAGAAGAAAAAAAAAGAGCAAATAGTATGCTTCAGTCAGCATTCTAATCCCATAGTTCTTTCTCTGCATGTGGATAGCATTTTCCATCATGAGACTTTTGGAGATGTCTTAGATTCTTGCATTGCTGAGAAGGGCTAAGTATCGAAGTCAGTCATCTCACAACATGGCTGTTACTGTGTACAACACTCTCCTGGTTCTGTTCACTTCACTCAGCATCAGTTCATACAAGTCTTTCCAGGTTTTTCTGAAGTTCACGTGCTCATCATTTCTCATAGCACAATAGTATTCCATTACGTTCGTATACCACAACTTGTTCAGCCATTTCCCAATTGATAGGCATTCGCTCAATTTTCAATTCTTTGCCGCCACAGAAAGAGCTGCACACAACATTCATTCTTTCATGCATTCATTTGGACCCTTTTTAAAAAACTATTGCTTTCTTTTGTTGTTATATCACCTTCATTTCAAATAGATTTCTCTATCTTCCCCACCCAGATCTGGATCCATTCCTTGTAACAAAGAATAAAAAAGAATGAGAAAAAGTTTAGCATAATCCACATACCAACAGAGTCTAACAATGGATAGTGTTTTATACCAATGGTGTCAAACTCAAATAGAAACAGATCCTAGAGAGCCATATATTGAATTAGGAAACCACAAATCAACATTATCTCGGTTATATTCTATTTTTATTTATTTTATTAAACATTTTACAATTACATTTTAATCTAGTGGGGCAGCAGCCCTGGGGCCCAATTTGACACCTGTGTTCTATACCCATAGTTCTTCCATTTCTGTAGAGAAAGATGAAGAGGGCTGAATTGTCACCTTTCTTCTTTGGGCCAAACTTGACATTTTAATTACATGGCTTTCAGTTTTGTTTTTTAATTATTTAAAAATATGTAATTAATGTGCATCCTCACATAAAGATGGAACTTCTCTTTGCATAGATTCTCAGCACTGACTTAACAGTATCTCCCACATTTCTCCAATTTTAGTCAAGGTTTGCTGATCAACCAGACACTGTATGTCTCTGGACAGGTTGGTAGAGATCCCACAAGTGGAAAACTTGTGTCAGGAGGGCTGGCAGAAGAATTTAAACAGGTAAGAAATCATTCCCCCCTGCCCAGTTGGAAACCCTTCTCATGTGAAGTGTGCCATCAGACTCAATTATATTGAGTGATCCTAAGTTTGATAATTGTGACTAGCTGATATAATTAAATGTGACAGGTTATGGCTAATTTCTCTTTTAGATATATCTTAAGAAATGCCAAAAGACTCAACCTCCCCTTAGTTATACACATCTTAGTAGGGACTGCCAGTGTCTAGGAACCATACAGGTATATGAGTTTTGAGGGATGAATTTGCATTGCTCTACAGGGTAGCAGGTAGAGACCTAGGCATCTTGCAGTAAGAAAGACTTGGGTTCTAGGTCTCTGCCTCTGCCCTATGCCAGTTGTGGGATCCTGGAGGAGTCATTGTGGAAAGCCCCTTTATACCAAACATTAGTACAAAGATGGATTCGGTATCTCCAAGCTTCCTGCCTTCCCTGGCAATGGCCCATCTCTGCAACAGTGTGTTTTGTTTTGTTTCATTTTTGGCTTAGACTTCAGTGAATCTGTTACTGTCAGTCCTTTTAGAGAACAAAAGCTTTATCTTTTTACTCTCCTTGTAGCTGCCACCCCCTCCTGAAGAAGGGACCTGATGATGGGCTGGAGGCATTGTACAGGACAGTAGGAGAGGAAGAGCAAAGATGAACCCCGGCTGAACTCTTGACACAGTTCTGGCCCTCAAATAACCCCTGGCCCTTCTAGGAACATCTAAATCAGCATACTATCCCTTAAATGGTTCCTTACCTCAGAAGATTGGAGGTGGTTACTGCTTAATACAACTCTCAAGTTTTTTGAAGCAGCTCAGCTCAAATGCTGCCTCCTGCAAGAAGCCTTCCAGCTCTCAGGAGTTGTTAGTGCTTTCTCTTTCTCCAAACTATCCTCTATCTATCTATTTATCTTTCTATCTATCGATCTATGTAGCGAACATTTTCAGGTTTATACATATATATATTTATTTAGTTATATTTCTCTGTGAAAATATATGTGTGTATATATATTATATATGTGTATATATGTATATGTGTATATACATATATATGTGTGTATATATATATATTTATATATATTTGTCTGTGAAAATGTTCTATTCACCCAGGCAAGGAGAGTTTTTCTTTTTTATCTCTAGCTCATAGCACAGTGCCATATATATAGTAAGTACTTAATAAGTGCTTGTTGGATTTAACTTTTAATAATAGTTGACTTTTATAAAGCACCCTACATAAATTTTCTCACTGGATCCTCATAACAACCCTCTAAGTTAAATCCTACATATATTATTATTCCCATTTTACAAATGAATAAAAGGAGACCCAGAGAGGTCATAGGATCATAGATTTAGGACTGTAAGGGAACTTAAAGAGCATTGAATCCAGTCCCCTTCATTTTACACATTAGGAAACTGAGACTCAGAGAGATTAATTATCTTGCCCAAGGGCACACAACCAGTAAGTGTTTGAGGCGGGATTTTATCCCAAGTCTGCTGTTCAGTTGTTTCAATCCCGTCCAACTCTTTGTGACCTCATTTGGGTTTTCTTGGCAAAGATACAAGAGTGGTTTGCCATTTCTTTCTCCAGCTCATTTTACAGATGAGGAAGCCGAGGCAAATAGGGTTAAATGACTTGCCCAGGGTCACACAGTAAGTGTCTGAAGCCCCATTTGAACTCAGGAAGATGAATCTTCTGGACTCCAGGCCCTGCGCTCTGAGTCTTCCTGAGTCCAAATCCAGTGCTTTTAGTTGTCCAAGTTTACACAGCTGGTCAAGAGTCAGGCAGGTTTAGAACCCAGATCCTTCTGTGTCCAAAGCAACTTGGATGTCCAGTAAGGTTCACTGTAGTTATTCACTCACTCACTCACCAAGCATTTATTAAGCACCTACTATATGCTAAGTGCTATGGATACAAAGAAAGGCAAAAGACAAATGACATACCCTGTCCTCAAGAAGCCCACATTCCACTGGAAGAGATAACACGTAAATAGCTAAGTACATACAAGAAACATACAGGGTAGATGGAAAGTTGTCTGAGAGGGAAGAGACTGATGGATTTGGCCTGTAGTGAAAGGGTCTTCTGACTCTGAGAGAAAAAAAGTTAAAATGAATTAAGTAAAATTGGAGTATTTTACTTCAACATACAGGAAACTAATCATAGAATTTAAAGCAGAAATGAACCTTAGAGATCATCCATTCCAAGGTGTCTTAACCTTTTTTGATGTCCTGGACCCCCTTCTCCAAATAATGTTCTTTAATAATTTTAAAATAATATTTTTAAATAGTTGAAGGAAATACTAAATTTCAGTTGGAAGTGAGTGAAAGTAGTGTTGACTTTAAATCTGATGTTCTTTCCACTGTAACACACTGGTCCCACATCAATCAGAGAATCTCAGAGTTGGAAGGTCATCTAATCCAACCCACACCAAAACAAGAATCCCACAATTGGGCTAGCCGACCTTTGTTTGAAGACCTGTAGTGAGCTTCCTACCTCCTGAAGCAAACCATTCCATTTTCAGAGAGCTCTGATGTGCTAGAAAGCTTTTCCTCACATTCCCCAAATCTGCCTCTCTGTACCTCCACCTATGACTTCTTCCCTCAAGCCCTGAGAACAAGTCGAATCCCTCTCCCATATATTAGCTTTTCTTATATTTGAAGATAGCTTTCTTGTCCTCTCCAGGTCTTCCATTATCCAGGCAAAAGATCACAACTTCCATTTCTCTTTGGTCCATCTGCAAATCAGATAAGCAAACTGCGTAGGCTTTTACGGAGTTAGCCAAGGTCAGCACCTTGAGAGATTTCATTAGAGTTCTTCCAAGTTGACATACACTTATTAATGGCCATTTGGCTGGTTTTGAGTCTCCCTAAAAACTGTGCTGTCGGCTACCCAGCATCTCTCCCTCTTCTCCACCAGAAGAACATGAAGGAGTTTGTTGAAGACTTTGCTAAAATTTTAGGTCAGCTCTCTCCAGTGCTCCTTGGATCTACCACCATTTGATTAAATTTTGCTGATTAGTTGAGTATTAGTGAAAGGGAGACACATTCTTTATGTCCCCTGAAGGAAGCCTGGATTTTGGGGGGGGGGGGAACCTCTCCCAGAGTTCTGCATCATTTGTATCAGGACATATTGAAACACCAATGAGCTTAGTTATGAACCTAGGAACCAGGCCAGAACCCGATGCTAAAATTCTATACAAGATGTAATCATGATAGGGTGGAGATAGGGTGGGACATGCTATTACATGTAAGTGGTCAGACTCATGCATTTCTTTCCTTTGGGCTACTTGTTATAAGAGGAGGAAAATTCAATGAATTCCATAAATTCTGGATTTCACAGATATTACTAGAGTTGTATTGCTTTCTTTAGGCCCTGAGTGTAAGCATAAAGTATTGCAACAAGTAAGATGAACTTGACATCTCAAAGCAAGAGAGTAAATTTAACTTCATACATGTCACTAAGATGTAGTTAGATGAGAACAATTGTGAGGGACTATCTGATGTTGGCAGCTACCAGGTTGAGTGCTGTGGCAAGGGTAGGGTAGGATCTGGGTATTTTGGAAGTCGAGGCAGGGGCTGTGGTAGGCAGAGTCGTGTGTACTGGGATGGGCTGGATACGGAGAAGCCCTGAGGCAATTGGGCAGTGCTCTGTGACATAAGCTGGGTGCAAGGAAGTAGCCGAGCCTGAGCTCCTGAGGCAAGGGGCGGTGCCACGTGGGAGTGGGATGGCAGAGGACTGAGTTCCCTCTGCTTAGTCCCCTCCCTATATGCAACGTCATCCCCAGATGCCTCTTGTGACCTTCCTGACCTCCGGGTCCCTTTGTGCAGCACTGACCCAGTCCCCTCCTGAGTCTGACTTCCTAGGTCACGTACTCTTGTCTATGCGTCAATCCCAGATGCCTCCTTCCTGTATCCAGTCCTAGCCTCCTACGTCACTCCCTCCCCCTTGGTGTGCTAAACTCAGACAGCCCCTTCCGGTATCTGACCCTACAATCATTGGCTAGTAGCGGGCTGGGGAGGAGGGGCTAAGGAGGTACTTAGGAACAAGCGTGGTCAGATCACTCGTGCGCTCCCCTGGCTCCTGCCCTGTTGCTCTGGCCTTGCTGCTTGGGCTTGCTATGATGGTTTGCTGTGTTGGCCTCTGAATAAAGCTCTGGTGTTGGTGCCTCCCGATGGCTCGTCTCTGTGTGGTGATCCGGCTCAGAACCGAAGACCCAGGTGTGGGTAAGACTCTGGTAGTGTACTTCTTATAAGAGAAGTAGGTACTGGCGCACGGCTGGCAGAAGGTCGGCGTGCGGCCAGTATAAACAATGACTTGAATCTATCTCTGGAAGGATATACTTGATTCAGGAGAAACAAGAGATACAAAAGAGTAGTGCCTCTGGGTTGTATAGTGTATATTTATATGTATATGTGTGCATATTATACAGACTATATAGCATTTTATATTAGGAAGACACATTTATGGAAGCAAATCTAAGAACTACAGTGAAAGAAGTTGATGGAATGCTCTGGAGTGAAAACCACCAGAGGCAGAAACAGAATAGATGTTGTCATTAGTCTCTGCTATAAACTACCTGGACAGAAAGAAAGACCAGGCAAGTGAGGAAACAGATCACATACCTCATATGGCAGCGGGATACTAGTAAAGGCAGATCTTCAGTTATCCAGACATCTGCTGAAAAATCTGTCTTTGGCAACAGCAGAGCAACAAATAATTTCTAGACTTGTCTTAATGATAATTTTGCCCTTCGAAAGGTAAACTAGTGAAGGAAACTGTTTTTCTTGAGTTGGTCATCAAAATAATGGGAAACTTGGGGGAAATGACCCTTTCATCTTAAAATTAAATGGAAATAGGATAGGAAAGCTGCATAGAGTCTGACATCCATCCTAGATTTTAGGGGAGCAGATTTCAAAATGTTTAGAGAAAGGATAAGTCATAATATTGCCAAAATGGTTTAATTTCTAATATGATAAATATCAATAGATATAACCCACATCAACAAAAGCTCTTTGGGGAGGATTGGGGTTCCTCATTAATTTTTAAGAGTGTAAAGTTTGAAAGTCACCAAGTCCCTTATCCTATTCTTATGAAAGAGAAAGAGACAAGAAGGAATAGACAGGTACATTCAGAAGTAATTGGCTGGACCTAAAGAATAATTACTAAGGAATCAAAATCAACTTGGAAAAAAGTCTATAGTGGGGTGACCCAGGTATCTGTGTTTGACCCTGTGCCATCAAAATTTTTATCAATAACTTGGATAAAAGGGTGACATGTTATTAAATTGTCAAATGACAGAGAAATAGCCAATTTGTTACATGACAAGAATGAGATCCCAAAAAAATCAAGTCAATCATTTACTAAGCCCTTACTCTGTACCAGGCACTGTGCTTGCACTGTGCTAAGTGGTAGGGAAACAAAAAAAGGCAAAAATAGGTCCTGATCTCAGGGAGCTCAAAGTTTAATTGGGGAGGCAACATGCAAACAACTACGTATAAACAAGATATATGTAGCCTAAATTGGGAGTAATTCTAGAGGGAAGACACTTAAGATCAAAGAGGATTGGGAAAGGCTTCTTACAGGATTTTAGCTTAAACTTGAAGAAAACCAGAGAAGCTGGGAGGGAGAAGAATTCCAGGAATGGGGGATGGTCAGTGAATGTACCAGGAATTAGGAAATGGTGTGTCATAGGTGTAAGGAGCAGCAAGGAGGCCAGTGTTAACTGGATCATGGAGTATGTGAGTAAGAGTAAAGTATAAGAAGACCAAAAAGTTAGGAAGGGGCCAGGTTTTTAAGGAGTTAACAGAACAAATCTAACAAAATGAAATTTAATAGGGATAGAAGTAGTCTTAACAGTTGGATTTTTTTTTTTAAATCAGCTTTACAAGTAGGAAATGGGAGAGTCATGATTAGACAGAAATCCATCTGAAAGAGATCTTTGAGGTTTAGCATCTTGCAAAGTTCAGTGTGAATCAACAGTATAATATGTCAGCCAAAAATGCTAATGTGATCATAGTCTTAATTGTAATAGCCACAGTTCCTAGGACTAGGAAGATGATAGTTTACTCTGAAGTACTATGTTCAGATCTTGACACCAAATTTTAAGAAGGACATTGATAACCTGGAGAGTATCCAGAGGCAGGCAACCATGATAATGAAGGGCTTTGACCCACACCATCTGAGGAGAATGGGTTGAAGGAACTAAGAATGTTTTAGGTGGAGAAGAAAATCCTTAAGAGGAACATAATTTGTTGTCTTCAACATTTGAAGATGTTTGGGAAACTGATTAGACTTTTCTTCTTGAAAGAACAGCTGTTTCTTCAGTCTCTTCAGTCTGTAAAACTTAACAACTCAGAGCATTTATGTTGAAATGGAAACAAAAATTGTCAGTGCCTCCAGCTTTGTGCTTTGTACCAACAGGCTCTTGTAAATGTGGGAGAAATTCTCAAGGCTGGAGGCTGTGACTTCAGTAATGGTGAGTGATTTGATTTCAAGTGTTTTATTATAAACTGGAATTTGTCAGAAAGTAGGAAAGGATTTTTAGTGCGAAAATATCATTAGTCCTTGGATTTGTTCAAAGTATGATGGCTCTATCCCATTAAGTTCCAGAGTCTAATGAGATTGTGTCCATGTGTCTTTAGTGGTAAAGAGTACTGTTCTAATGGCTGACATAAATGACTTCAATCTTTTTAATGATGTCTACAAGCAATGTAAGTTGTTAGTTTTCATTTACATCTACTTGTTCTCTTCTACTTTCTTAAGAAATGAATTGCAGCATTGGAGACTCCATAATTCTCAAACTTTCTCTGGAAATCTTGGTGATCTTCCTTTTTAAAATTTATCTAAGCCTCATTAATTAAAAATATGATTAATTAATTAAAATTATTAATTCTGGTATGAGCCATTTGCCTGCTTGCTTTTAATTTCTCTTTATACCCCTGACTCCAGGCCTGTGGGCTTAATGAAAATAGTTCTAAACAGAAGCAAAATGATGAGAATATAAGTTGATCAAAAGACCTGAAATCAGCATTAGAATAATACCAATTTGGAGGAGAATTTGATGAATCTTTTATAGTTGCAAAGATTTGTGTATCAAAAAAATAATCAAAGATAAAAACCTGAAACCTTCTATTATACGTATTAATGTAACCTCTAAATGGGGCTGTATCCACATTCCTTGCTCTCCGAGGCCTTTGCTACCTTCCTTACTCTATGTGAAATATTTAGTCCTGTTTCATCAGAATTCTTTTCATGCAGAATTATTTTACCTCCAGTTTTCAAAGGTAGTTTTCCAGCCAGATCTACCTACCAAGTTGCTGCTTTGCCTCTTGTAAGTAACAACCCTTATTTCTTCCATCAAAACCGTTTTTGGATTGATTTTAACTCAGCCAAGGTTTGAGTACTGGATTGGGGAAGGGGGTGTGTGTGTGTGTGTGTGTGTGTGTGTGTGTGTGTGTGTGTGTGTG